GAACAAATTCCCGCGCAGCACACTAGCGGACTTAACACTCTTCGCTGTATAATATACACCCCTCTCATCTTTTGTTTAAATCAATAAATCCTAGTGAAACCCTAGTAAATATTATTACTGGTATTTGTTTTGAAAGTATAACTGCAGAATAGAAATGAAGGATAGTGTTTCATATATGTACGCAATAAATGTCAATAAAAATTGTGAATCAAGACCCGGAGTAAAAGTAGCTCTTTTTATTTATAAACAATTATACCTTTGGCTTCCTTTTTCAAAATTATATAGTTTTCCCCGTTCGCAAAAATCTTGGAAATAACGAAACCGCAACAAAAGGTAAAAAAAGGAAATACATCAGGGGTTTAACCAAGTGCCCTGTCAAATCCACTCGCTTACACTCTTTCAGAGGTGAACGACGGAAACAGAGGAGAGATATCGTTGTAGGGTATTAAACGTTATTTGTAAGAGTCGTGTGGTTCGAGTATACACTACGCCGTCGTTAAGGTATTGTACAAGCTTCCTGACACACGTGTGATACATGGAGTCAGATCGAACAAATGTATAATTCAATTATTCAGTGTCAGAGTTAAAGCAACGTATCTGTCCGAAGTCAATGACTATGAATCTGTAAATTAGTGAGAAAAAAACAGTTTGTGTTCTGACAAATAAATAACTAATTCAATTGATTAGGGTTAATTTTGTCAATATTTTATTTTTTTCAGTTTTTGATGTAATTCTTTCTCCGGGATGAGGATGATTTGTTCTTTGCCAATTAATTAACACACATATAAATGAAATGAAATGATATCAGAATGTCTGTTATAGAAACTGTCTCAAGAAAACAGAAAATAAACATCATCTTCACTAACCTGCTCTCCCCCATATTTGTATATGTATTCTGGGAATGTTTGAGAGATAGGAAGACACTTCAGGGGAATATCTGAACGACAGCGAGACAACGAAAGATGAATTGTTGAGAACTAGATTACATATATCGTCTTTGCCGATTATATATATGTCAATCATACGAGGGTCCCCATATTTCCTTGTAAGTGTTGTCAATAATTAAACCCTGAAACATATCATTCCAGGGCATAACCCTTCGTGTCGATATCTTCTTGAATAGAGATTTGAGGGCCATTATATTTGGCCGATAATCTGGATTGTAAGTTGACAGCTGTCAGAGTACCAAGTAACCTAATTGTGTGATTTTTTCTATAATCTGATATTTCTTTAACTTCCACGTTCCTGATTGTCAATACTTGGAGTGTGATATTGGCCCTAACATATTTAGCATTAGTAGCATTGTGATTAAATGTGACATATTTATATCATAACAAAAGCATCACAATCGAACGGTTCCCCGTGAATAAATGAACTCACGGAGACATCAGTACGTGAATACGCCTCTAAAATATTACCAAATTGTGGCCGAATATTATTCCGCCAGAAAATAGTCCCTGTCGGTATGTTTACGTAACAAATGTAAAGTAAAAGATTAAGCTATATTAAGTACAAAAAGTCCACAGACAGTAGGTCATACATCGGAGCCAAAATGCCTTACGTTTAACACGACTGCTAGTAATTCTGTTTTTCTGTATATATTTTTTGCAAAAGAAATGCAAGATGGACCCTTATTTGTCAACTGACAGATGCACTTCCAATGAATTCTTCTTTTTCCTATTTTTCTGTCATCAACACCTTCAATAATTTGCTTAATTTTACGCTAACATACCAAATTTCCCAGTGGACTTATTGCAATAAATAAACAAACCAACACAGATTGATTCTATTTACAGGAGAAGCGAACGACACACAAACACCTCGACACAACACCCTCGCTTTTACTTTCACAATTAGTCCCGTCAATCGGGCGGGTTAGAGCCATCAGAATGTTAGTTGTACTCTTCCAGAATCCCTATCACGTTACAGACTAATCATAATTACCTCAAGTAGTCACCACAAACATAATGACCTCCAAAACTTAAAACAGTCTGGTGACGCCAGGTTATCCAAACAAACTTACTTTTAATTGTAAATCATTTATAAAAAACAATCTGTGAATTTATAAACAATTCACCAGATTGCACATTTTATATAAAACTACCTTGGTATATACACTATACACCAATTTGTAAATTCATATATAAAAACAACCTGTGTGAATTAACACCAGTTGTCTATAAGACCTTTTTTCTGGTCTTTGATTACCTAGATATTTGAAGGATAGACTTCCTATTTTCTCCTTGTGTATTTACGCTTTGGTTCATTTTCGTTGTAACCCAACAAGGATTCGGTACTAGACGTGCCTGGAATGATATCTTCCGGGCAATTATGTAAAGCAATGTTGATTTCCATCAATCACCATTGAACGTTTCCAAGTTAAACATTTCAGGTTTTCGGTTCAGGAATGACACAGAAACTCTTTGATTTACGGCTATGTAGTCCGAAAACGCCTACACTTTTGTACTCCCTTACTCATTAAATGCATGTCTACATTCGTACTTCCCATCTAAATATATTTCTGTTTATATTCGTACGCTTGTTAATTAACCGGAGGTGGGGTCATCCGAACTCTGAGAGTAAATATTGATTGTGTAATATTTTCATCATTATTAAGACTGGAAACAAAATATGCGTGTCAAGGGATACGATGCAGTCATCGTCATAGAATATACACAAAAATGCATTTTTGCTTCTTTTACACAAATAATAATTGAAAGGGTTTCATACAAGTCACAAAAGGTATATAACATCTACTGTATATATATCGTAAATAAAGCACAAGAATTGATATTGATGTAAAGATTTGCATTAATTAACTGTGGGATATAAACATGCATTATACTTTAAATTGTTCTTTTTGTAATTAGCTAGACGTTTACAAGTAGCTATCGAGATTGACCTGTGACCCTTGTTACACCTCCAATAATTACTCAAGTAGTCAAGTTTTTCTTTTTAGAACTAACATCGACTTTGTCACCTCATTCTGTATCAACCTAATTAAAGTCTAGTTAAAAACAAATCCCCCCTCGGGAGAAACCAAATACAGATATTGGTAAAACATAATGTTGATTAACAAAGCATTATCCTACTGCCCAATAGAGGGTCTGATAGAAACATCGGTCAATATTGTAAAACGTGTTTACATCAACAATATAAAACTACTGTCTATTAGAAAGCCTGTTAGCAACATCGGTCAATATTGTAAAACGTGTTATCATCAACAGTATAATCCTGTTATACAATAGAGGGCCTGTTAGCAACATCGGTCAATATTTTCAAACGTTTTTACATCAACAGTATAAAACTACTGTTTAATAGAGGGCCTGTTAGCAACATCGGTCAATAATGTAAAACGTGTTAACATCAACAATATAAAACTACTGTCTAATAGATGGTCTGCTAGCAACATCGGTCAATATTGTTAAACGTGTTTACATCAACAGTATAAAACTACTGTCTAGTAGAAGGCCTGTTAGCAACATCGGTCAATATTGTAAAACGTGTTATCATCAACAGTATAAAACCACTGTCTATTAGAAGGCCTGTTAGCAACATCGGTCAATATTGTAAAACGTGTTTACATCAACAGTATAATCCTATTATACAATAGAGGGCTTCAACAATGGTTTTTATTTCAGCCATAATAGGTCCCTAGGACATAGGATATGAATGTCTAAATACTGTTCGTTTGATATCTTAGAGGTTCAAAGTTAAATCTTGAATTAAAGACATTAAAAAGGTATCATTACAACAACAAAACTTTCAACATAGCAGAAATGGAATAGGCGTCACTACACCAGAAAAAAACCCACAAAGGTCAACCTCGATACAAGAAACAAGAACATATAAAAAACGATGAAACACATATGGGATAGAAATACATGTTTGTCAATGAATATTCTGAGACAGTAATAATAAATGGACAATGAATGAGCTATGGTAAATTTGAACTATGGATATTAAACGACTATGTATATAAAGTGAATTATGGAAAAGACTGAACTTTTTTAATGAACAATCTATAGAAGATAAGTGAAATATTGATATTTAATGGGGTATGGACAATGGATGGACTATGAAAGGCAATGAACTTGTTGCAATCAAATTAATTTCAAAATGAGGACGGCATGGTAAGGTACGCATATTTAAATTTCAAACTGAGTCTCTTCGTTGATAATACAACACACAGCGCTTGGGCTTTCATCCTGGTCTGAGAAAACCCATAAGGATAATTGATAATTCCTAAATAATGTAGGTGGTGATTCTCTCTTACTTGGATATGTTTTCCATCTAAGCTATAGGAGAAATATAGCTAGCCATTGCTAAGTTGTACAAGCGTCGGCACGAGTTTTGTCAGTTGTTATTGGAAAAGAGCTTATTATGACATTGTGGACGTAGCTTGCCGAGCTATCAACAGCCTTTGCACATCAAACATCTGCGTTGTGTTTCACGTTTACGTTTAAAAGAGTGAAGCATAGTGTTTATTTCGTTACTTTTGTATCCGGTGTATATCAAGTGTACTAAAATGTGTTTTGTACATTTATTAGGGAATGTGTGGAATGCGATACATGCTATGTTTATTGAATCTCTATTTAGGTAGAATATCCATTCTAACTGTACATGTAGTTTGAATCACAATGTTACACATATTGTAAAACGAGTAATTTAACTTTTTGGTTATAAAGATTATCCTAGCATGTACTACATCGTCAATACACAGGTATACAGCACTCAGCATCCATACAAATACGTACTATATCGTCGATACGAAAACAAAAAGACAAGCACACCCAGTCCTCGCATATTTACACGTATCAAATCGTCGAAACAGCCATTGACTCCTAATTAGTGGTCCCTTTTTCTCGAAAATTAAATGTTACAACAATAATTTTGACATAACATTCTGAACATGGGAACACATGTCATGTAGCACACCTGATGTAGAATCATTAATTGTTAGAATTGCCAACACCTGACAATTGTCCGTTTTATTGTAGGAAGTGAAGTAGACGACGCCTTCCAGAGGTACTTAGAGGGCAGACTGGTGAAATCTATAGGCAGTCGACACAGCGACGATAGGGAAATCCTATTCAAGATATCGAAATTATTGCAGGAATGGCAGCTGAAAAACAAGGCAAATGAGGTGGCGGAAGTGACATCATATGACCGGAAGTGAAAAGTTGCGTCAAATGAGAACCAAAATCACCAATGTAAGTTCCCTGCAAAGGCTCTTGAAAACAATACAAATTCAAGTTGAATGTTTTCCTTGTGTACTTGTATACAAAAACAGCGTAAAAGTAAACACAATAATATGTTTACCCTTTTGTAGTACTGGGTATTTGCTCTGATGATTACCAAATAAACCATCCTTAGTGTAATTTTGTCATTCCTCAGTACTGATATACGTACATAGATAATCATCAAACAAATGTATGATAGCAATCCCTTAGTACTGCATTGGTATTTACTCTGACAACCAACAAATAAAACCAGGCGCGTAGCTGTACCTGTACGCAGTTTAATCCACCAAATTTTCAACAACAAAAAACACTGTTTTGTGGCATATTTTTTTTAGAAATAATATAAAATACCCCCAAAACATATTGTAGAATATCTCGATTTTTCAATCATTTTGAAGATTCTGACACCAAAAAATCATAAAAATAGTAAATTATTTTTTCAACCGGGGGTGAGGGGGGGGGGGGGGGCAAAGCCCCCTTTGTCTTTCTGCCAAGGCCCTCCCGCGGTCCCCCGGACTCGCTCTTTAATGAATCCTCTCAGAGCAGGGGCTAGCTACACCCTTAATAACATCCTGTTTTTAACTTTGTCATTACGAATCAGCCTTGGTATATTTGCATCAATTATCGCCAACTATTATAAACTGTCTTTATGCGGATATGACCTCCCCGTTTACATGAAATGACGAATAATAAGGTTAACCTTTCACTTTTAGCTCGAGTTTCTCAATATTCAGTAATCAGCCCCAAGATATATGACGATTGTGGTTGCCTCCTAATTAGCGGCAATAAACCAGTATAAATGTCTATCTTTCTAGTTACTAACCTGCTGCTACAGAATCAATTTTTAATAAATAGCCGATTTTTAGCAGAACTTTTTGAATTCATTAGGACAAGATAATGATGGTAAAAAAAGTAGAGCTACTTTTACATGATTTTTTAAATCAAGTTTATCAGTATTTAAGAATCTTAATTGTCAATATCTTCAATTTTCATATATAAAGTGATATTTTCACGGTAAGAATTTATATAGGATTTGTGCTGGTCTCCCGTTGAGTATCATACAAATATCACGTGTATGGTCAGGATGTCTATATATTATACGATTACGTTGCGTGAGTGAAAATCTCGGTATATTTTCCCATACGAATTGTATGTATATGGCATTCAACACGACAACACTTCAATTTTCTATTTATTACATTTTTTAAGTAGCACGAAGAAAGTATTACTGCACCAGAAAAGTGAGGGAATTAGTAAAACGCCATGTTCTGATGACGTCGTGCTTGACAACAAGGCAGTGCGACATTTTCGAATTGAAACGAAATTACCGTTCTGATTGGACAGTACTAACATAATATCTTCACATGGGAAGAAGATAGTTCCTTGTATTTCATTGGTAAAATGTAATATTTCTATATATCTAAACTCGGAGAGAATAGTATGCAGTAGATTGGATAATTATTATTTTGGGTATGAAATTCATCCGATTTTCGCGGCAATAGATATATCCGCAACATCACAGTCGCTTAATTCTTTGATTAAAGAAAATTATAGACTATACGCGAAAATGAAAACGATTTAAACATAGAAATTGCAGCACCGTTTCACCACCGAAATATCGTCAAGCGCTTTTATCTTGTTTTATCACACGACTACTCATATGATGTGTTTACATATGTGATAATTTCTAACCCTCCCCGATACATGTAAAACCTCTGGTCATTTGTATGATCTGTTTCTCTATATACTACCAAACATGATAACTTTATCGTTATGAACCCCCTTTTTGGAACCATTAACTCTAGTTTGACCAGTTCAATGTCAAATGCTTTACAAACGAAATTTAAAATTTCGTCACTTTAAGATTTAAATTTACGATAACCGTTCGCATATAGTCTGCTTATTGTGCTATGAAAATGTCAAACGATAAGGGTTGCACAATTCTAAATTCTTTGGCGTCACAAGTTTGGAATAGAAGATATAGCTAATCTTAATGCGAGTATGCGGGATTTAGACGCATCGAAAAACACTGAATCAGACATCGCCTGTTCGAAACATGTCTTTGTTATGTAATGAAGCTGTAAATGATTTTACTTCTCGATTTGGTGATAAGGAATACAGTTTATTGTTTTTGGCACACCCGGTTGATATGATACCTCTCGACCTGAGACGGAATATGATAACAAAATTGTTATACAGTTTTCTCTATATACTTAAATGGTAATTTTCTGTTGTTTTAATCACAAGATTGGTTCTGGAAGGATATAAAACGTATGACTACTTTGGGCTATAATAAAGAATAAAAAAAACGCAATAACCAATCCTTCACGTTTAAAATTGGCAGTGGTTAGTTAATATTCAATGACGCAAATAAAACACAGGTTTTGCATTTGCTTCTTTGATGTTTTCTTGACCGTAGATGGTCTTGACCTGTAGAGGGGACACAACTTTCTTATCACGACAAAAACATATGTGTAGTGTCCAAATGAATACTGCTTAGTGGTTTTGTGTACAAGTATATGAAGACTTTTGACTTCTTCAGCTTAACTTGACCCCCCTTAGATTCTAGGGTTATAAGGCATTTATATGTGGATGTGCATGTGCATACAAAACTATGCAAAATGTTGTTAGGATTTTTGGTTTATAATCCAGTTGTTCGATTTAAAAACGGCAAATTTAAATTATCGTTTAAAGTGACATTGTGTTTATTTCAGGTCGTGGGGATGAAGTCAGCATGGAAGATGTTCCAAAGCCAATCGTTTTATCCATATGGAGATTCCAGAAGATTTTATTTTCATATTCATGAACGTATACATAGAGTACTCACCAACATGTGTCCGTGAAGACGGGAACATGGTTTATTACGTGTGTGTATTAACGATAAAAAAAATCAGACATTATGTGATTTTCTTAAAGTCATTCTTATAAAAAGTAGCATAATTACCATTCGTATATACCTTTACAGATATGAGTTACCAGGTACAACAAAAACTTACATGCAGAGAACACATCAATACACAAATAATAGGTAAACAATATAGCAGGGAACACACAGGTACAATACGTATTGGTAAATAAAACAGAAAGGAACACACAGGTACAACAACAATAGGTTCACAATACAGTAGGGAACACAGGTTCAACAACAATAGGTTAACAATACAATAGGAAACACACAGGTTCAACAATACTGAACAGAACTTACCTGTGCAACACAAGAAGGTACAAGCACATACGAAACACGCATGAACAACAATAGATGGTTCCAAAAAGCATATTACGGGACACAAAGTTTACAACAACAATGTCCAGAACAATATTACAAGTTACAGCAACGTATTATAGAACATGCCGGTACAATATACATAGATAACAACAACACGTCGTTATAACAACAGTAGCTACATCAACACTGTACAGAACACGTCGGTATAACAATGGTAGGAACAACAGCGGTGCCCGAAGTGAAATGACCATTTCTGAACAGATCGAATAACTAACTTTAAAACACGTTTATTCTTTAAGGTTAATAACTTGGAAGCCAATCAAATCGTTTTATTCTGTTTAAATCAACCACTTACTTTGGAACAGTTGAACAATTCGCCAAAAGTAGAATATATTTATACAACTTTAACACATAAGATTAACATCACAAACACAACTATTACCAGTCTAAATTATACACTAAGTTTACATCACAAACACAACTATTACCTGTCTAAATAACACACAAGGTAACACACAGATACAACCACTACCCGCTAGCTAAAACAAGCACCGTGTCTACACATAAGAAACTATAACTTACCGATTAAAGATTATGTATACAGTATCTCATGTCCTTCGTTTTCTGTTAAATTGCATATAATACGGTATCAATATTTGTTGTTAATGTTGCGTTTTGATTAAATGATTATTTATATTGGATAGTAATGTTATGACTAATCTGGGACCATTTTGTGGTCTTTATTTTGACTTCTACCCTGATGTAATATGCCGACCTTGTTAGAAATAGACGGCACGTGAATTATTTCCTTTTGTTTTGATTTCTCTATGTTTGTTTCGACGATAGTTCCAGAGTGTGCCCTAAATATCGACGATGTTCCATTTTTATTATCAAAACGAATGCGATTCAAATTAGTATATTACATCTAACCAAAATTCATAGTAAAGGAATAAAAATCTTAAGCGAAAGAAGGTTTCGTATGATTATTCCATCCATTACATTATAAATGTTACTGTCGATGTTATTTCATAAATAGAATATTGTAAAACTTTGAAAACAAACAGAACAAAAAATCTAATAACAAAGAAAATATGAAAACAGGCGTTTGGAGGATATCCGTTTGCTTCATCGCCGACACCCGTCATGTAAATTTGGTCAAAGCAAAGTAACGACACGTCCCCACAGCGCCAAGCATATAATGGCAAGAAAACAACAGGGCACATTAATTAACATAATACTAAGCAACGATCCTCACATCACACATGCAAATAGCATGTTTAATAATCTATCGAAACCCTTTGTTGTAAGTGCGTTCGTCAGCAGTCAACATCTGTCACAGAAATCATGTTTTTTAGAGCAAGCGCTTGAAGCTAAGTTCGGGAAGAAGGGATATAATATCAAGAACTGGAAAGTTCAGGCACAGTCGGTAAATTGAAATCGTCTATTGGTCAAGTTGGATGGAAAGATTGCCTGATGGAGCAGTCAGTAGTGTCCTTGACTATAAACGACCGACATTGTCAATAAATTTATTATTATTTAAAGCAGCGCATTGACAACATATCTGAACTTGAAATTCAGCCTCAATTAAAACAAACAGAAGTCGTCTTAGAGAGGGACACAGTTATGTCCCGTAGAAATGCCTACAATATGCTTGAATATCTTGCAATCGACCCCGATAAACCATTGTCAACCAGAACTCGGTTTTTCTCAAGATTCGAACATCAATATATTTCATCTTGGCCTTTTTCGCATTTGTTCACAAAACTGCTCCAAAATAATTTATAATTTGTTAAGTATATTTTTATATCGCCGTCCATCTTTTCTAGGAAAAGAAAGCTCTCATAATGAGAGAACGAAGGCATATTTCAGTTTAGTTTGAGGTTTTGGAGTGTATAGACAAAAACATTTTCGGAGAATAGGATCATGCTTAGGAGAACTCCCGTGATGGATAAAAAAATTGTTTCAATTCCTTAAAATCCACATTCCATTTTTCCATTTTTGAGGAATATAGTGTTACACAATTCTAGGTAACATGAAAATGTTTGCTATGCTTTCCATTATATTGTTAGAATAGTCGGAGACTTATCATGGTAAACCATTCAAATTAAAAACTGATCTTAGGAATGGGAGTAAACAGATAATACTAATTCAACGGCTCCTTGTGAAGTAACTCATTCCAATGGTACTCATAGGCTGAACACATGAGTCATCTGGATGGTACGTAAAACAGATACATGTGGAGTGATATAATATCAGCTCCGTCATAGCTTACCGTGTGATGTTCCTCGTGCATTGCTCCTTTCTTCAGTAGTGTTACTAGCTGTGACCTCAATATCAAACCATCCATTCGAAGGGGAACATTCTTCGGGATGTTTTGTTCCCTTAAAAAGATAGATGTTAGAAGAATAGAAAAAAATATATATAAATAAATATAAAGATAAATTTTGCATAAGTGGAACTCTCGAAAAGTGTTTTTTCGCCTTTGCTAAATCAGAAAGAGAATCCGATTGCGTGGCCAAAGTGACTTAAAATGAGAACCATATTTTAAAATAGCGTGTTCAATGAAAACAGTTCCTCAGTGTCAAAAGTTCGGAGAGACAAAAACATGAAAGAACAGCTTGTACAGTAGTTGTGTCAGGAATCTTCAAATAATGATATACAACTATTTATAATCAGATATAACAATTCACCCGTTATAACAATTATATCAACACGTCCAATCTGCAGTTTTGTAATCACATTCAACTACACAAACGCTGTAAATTGTCTGTACTTACGTAGGGGAGTGTGGTTCTTCCTCGTCCATATTACTGGAATTCACTACCTGAAATTTAATCATAACTAGAACACTGACAGGTCAGTAAAGGTCCCGTCTAGTGGCAATATATCCCCCATATACATGTAGCTGAGTTTGACGTCTGACATTTGGACTTCAAAAAGAATCGCAAGGAAGCAAAATATACATTTTACATGTACTGTGATGTGAGTCTTGTTTCCTTCCACCTCCTTATTTGCTGGGCTAACAGAAATGTAAACACTGGTGCAATACTCTTTTGTTAGCTTTGATTTGTTTTATTTCATCTTAAATACCTCCATCAAAAGCCAGGGTCAAAGTCAGAGATCCACTTTGTCTTTGACCTTTGGGCCCAAATGATCTTGACTTTTAACCCAGTGACCCTGATCTTTGGTCAGTTGACTTATTCTTTACAACCAACTTTAGTTCATAATATCATAAAATGTTCATCAGTAAAAAATACAAAACTTGACATTGACCTTGAACCTTCGGACCCCGTAACCTGGACCTTAGGTCAGTTGACTCCCTGAACAACTTTGCTTCATAATGACATAAAAAAATGTTCATCAGTAAAAAAAAATACACTATTTGACCTTGGCCTTTGACCCAGTGACCTTGACCTTTGGTCAGTTGATACCTTGTTGAATTGTGTCCAACTTTGCTTAATAATGTCAAAATGAAAGTCAGTTGATACCTTGTTTAATTGTGTCCAACTTTGCTAAATAATGTCAAAATGAAAGTCAGTTGATACCTTGTTTGATTGTGTCCAACTTTGCTTCATAATGTCAAAACAAAATGTTAAGCAGTTAAAAGATACACAATCTGACCTTGACCTTTAATCCGATGACATTGCTCCAAAGAATCATAACGAAATGCCACCAGTATAAAAATACTAACTTAGACCTTGAACTTTGATCCAGTGACCTTGATCTTAAGTCAGGTGACTCTTTGTTAAATTCTAAACAATATTGCTTCATAATGTCATAACGAAATGTTCACCAGTGGAAAGATACAAACTTTAACCTTGACCTTTGACCCAATGACCTTGACCATTGGTCAGTTGACTCCTTGCTTAATTCTGATCAACTTTGCTTCATCAAGTCATAACAAAATGTTCATCAGTGAAAAGATGCAAAATTTGACCTGGACCTTTGAACATTATGACCTTGACCTTTGACCTTGACTTTTAACCTCAGTGTGTATTTTTGTGAACTGAACAACTAGACCAAGTTTCCTATAAATCGGTCAATAAATATCAAAGTTATCAGCCAGGAACAAAATGTATGGACGGACAGACAGACGGACGGACAGACAGACAGACAGACAGACAGACAGACAGACAGAGTGATTATTATAGGGCACCCGTATCTCCGATACGGGGCCATAATAAGAAAATATCGTCAAACCTTCAAATACGGAAACATTCATTTTTCATTATGACTAATTATAGTTCGTGTATTCAGTATATGTCGTTATGCACTTACTTTCACAGAATTCGTAGTGGCAGTGGAACCATCAATTTTAGTCATTAGAGAGCAACATTATTGCTTATTCCAGTAACTAAGCGTGTCACCAGGTCACAAAGTGTTATGAACGAACTATTTTAGAAACACTTAATCTTACTGTTTAATGAGTCTGCACTGAAACGTTAGTAGTTCTTGTGTAATTTGCTTATATCAATAACAAAGTACAACTTGGTCATTGCAGTTACTTATGGGATTACTGGTTTTTTCAGACAGATTTGTCAAGCTGATCACATCTCGTTTGAATGGCTTCCAAAAGTGCAGGTTAATAGCGAACACTGAATGCTAGCCCCGTGCAGTAGACTTAATCGTTACAACCACCAATACTTTTTAATGACACACGCAAGCTTTTGAGTTGACAGCTGATAAACACATATCACTATTCAAAAGTATCCTTGGACCAAAGAAGCAAAAATAAAAGGCCTATTGTTATGTTTTTTTACTTTATATAGATACAAATATGAAAAAAAACATGGGAAATGAAAAGCTATATCAAGAATTGATCAAGTCGTAGTATCACTAAATCTTCAGCATGACCATCTAAACGATGAACAGCAATGTGATATAAATGTATCAAAGTGTGTCAATATGTTTGCGGGTATTTTTCATCGCGCTGAAAAATGCTTTTAAGAAACTAGAAAGGAGTATATCATGCTTTATGTAAATGTGTTTTATGACATATAATATGGAGAAGGCGTTATGGTTGGTGGTCACATAAATCAGGCTACAGTCAGACGGGTTTTTCACCTTACCTGCTGATGTCTGTCCTCAATGATAGACACTATAGGAAAAGCGTTATGGGCGGTGGTTCTGAGAATCTGAACGATAGATGTTACTCTAGTTCTCGGATACAAAAAGTGAAGCTTCCGCTCCATAATGTCTTCAGCTTTTAACCTAAAACAAAAAAATATATACATAAAGATATATAGACTTAATCTTCAAAAAGGATGGAAAAGATATTAGTATTAAACCTTTGTTATAGTTCATTCTGGACTTGTTAACATACTTTAAGATTTTTTGCTGCTTTTTTTCGTCTTTTACTATGTCAACTTACGTTTTTTCTTGTCTTGGATACAAAGCTTACGATTAGTGCGATGTGATGCAATATCAACGGTCTCTTAGATTTGTAACATTTTTTTATCTTGCCTTAAGATATATTCTATCGACCTGACAAATATTTGTGCAACAGTCTGGTTTTTGGTTCTTATGTTCCTAATCATGCTTTCCCAACGTGACTTACCAACCATTTTAGAAACCATGACATCTCTTTGTACATTTGTAAATGGACTCGTCGAAATTTGAAATTAGCATACATAAAATACTGTTCTATGACCAATCCCTCACTCCAACAAAAGGAACATAGGATGAACCACAAAAGGAACATACGATCACCCCCAAACAAAAGGAACATACCTTCACCTTCAACAAAAGGAACATAAGATCACCCCCAAACAAAAGGAACATATCTTCACTTTCAACAAAAGGAACATAGAATGAACAACAAAAGGAACATACGATCACCCCCAAACAAAAGGAACATACCTTCACCTTCAACAAAAGGGACATACGATTACCCCAAACAAAAGGAACATATCTTCACCTTCAACAAAAGGAACATAAGATCACCCCAAACAAAAGGAACATATCTTCATTTTCAACAAAAGGAACATATGATCACCCCAAACAAAAGGAACATATCTTCATTTTCAACAAAAGGAACATGGGATGAACAACAAAAGGAACATACGATCACCCCAAAACAAAAGGAACATACCTTCACCTTCAACAAAAGAAACATAAGATCACCCCCAAACAAAAGGAACATAGAATGAACAACAAAAGGAACATACGATCACCCCAAAACAAAAGGAACATACCTTCACCTTCAACAAAAGGAACATAAGATCACCCCCAAACAAAAGGAAAATATCTTCACCTTCAACAAAAGGAACATAAGATCACTCCAAACAAAATGAACCTATCTTCACCTTCAAACACAAGGAACATAAGATCAACCCTAATGAAAGAACAATAAGATGAACTATTTTCATGATTATAGAGCTAAGTACTCTGTTCCCGCTATAGTGTACTGAATTTTAAGTATGTTTGAATAGGCAAGATTAAAATTCGTCAATGGCAAAACAGTGGTTCAGCCATAGACCCCTATTTAAAATAGAATAAACTTCAAATGTGATGTAATGGAGTTAACATATTAGATTTTATAGTACGAAGATCACGAACTAAAATACATGATTACAAATGGACATTGTTGTACATTCACTCGAGCTGCGATCTGCAATACATTGTTTTGGTCAAAAAACTTATAAACTAGTTCGGAACAATATAGAACGCAAGATGACAAGAAAAAGAAGACGTATTCAATCTAGTGACATTTTTTTACTTACAAGTTATCACAAGTGTTGAACTTTACCGTCATAAAAAATAATTCTAGCTTTCTATTACCCATAACATGTAAAGGAGAGTGAGGGGGATAGGCTCACTAACACCCCGACAAAGTATAAACACGTCTGGTCTTAAAACTAATACAATTGGGGGAATATCAATGATTTACAAGAACTTCATCAGCATAAACCTAGGTTAATGCCAAGAAATACGATTTAGATTTTAGCAGCAAATGCTAATAGGAACATTCAGAATTCGACCTTTGATATTTAAATATATTTCCGACATGATAAAGGGCATATGTAGGCTATGTATAATACATGTGTGTATGCCTGTTTTAGACAGACATGTTGTATGTTGTATTGTCTTTAAGGTCATCATTACGTATTATAGACTACTTCCGGTGTAAGATGAGTGATGGAACAAAGGTCCTCATGATGTTTCAATAATCACCTTAATGGTTAAAATAAACACATTTTACCATCAATTCGACTTCAAATATTGTACCTTTAAAAGATTTCCTTGGTTTCTAATACAATGAGTCATACTTTGGACTTAGTTTTAAACATATGATAAACAAGAGTATAATGACAGCGAATGCATTATTTTAACATTGTCTCCCGAGTGAGCTCTGATATCATTTAACAACTGGAGGCTGGAGTGTATATAGCAAGTAACTTATAGGATATCAACGTTAAGAACAATCGATAATGATTTATATTAGATGCAACACCCTTTTCCTAAATCTCCATTTGTTATATCATTATCACGTGAATCAGAGTAACTACTTTTAGAAACAGCAGGTCAATATTGTATTTATGTCGTCACTCCTAATTTAACCTCACAATGTTTTGTCAAATGCTGCACTTTTTCTCCTTACATTTTCCATACGTACTATTTAGTTTCAAAATTAAAAAAAATCTATTTTTAATGTCTAATATCACAATTAAGGTAATAGGATTGTGTCACCATTTCTCAGTAGAATTTCTTCAAATTTTGTAGTTATATTGCTTTAAAGTAAGGAAAATTTTCTGCCACAAAGAAAATATAGGTTGTCAGAATTTTAAGAAGACACAATATTTTTACAAAATAATGTCAATAAAAATGATACTGACATATATTAGTATTGCATTAATGTATATCAATTTAATAAATGCTGAAATTGTGTAAAATTAATTCTCTATACACGATATAAAAATTGACATTTTATAATAAAACCATATACACACAGTAATTGCAGGTAAGAGTTATCGTTCTTGATAAACTTCACAGTAGTGAAATAGGTAGCCGGGTTCCTGAAGTACAGAAAAATGGACACATGTGACTCATTGATAAAAAAAAACCTGAATTAATGCCTGGATTGCTTTGAAATACTTTAATATTGAGAGAACACACCGTTCTGTCAATAATAAACATACAATATTCATCAGTTTAATATTAAACATTAGAATTTGCGGAAATTGTGATGCTGTCTCCCTACATTGGATTTTCAACTAGGGATGTACTTCCTGTTTCCGTTTATCAATGTTTCAGTGAATATGTGGTTATATGGGCATGGAAAAAACGTTATATTAACCTTGACTTCGTCTCTGTTAATATAACTTTCTCAGGTTCGTATAACAACGTTTTGACCTCAGCACAAGTCCATTGATAAATATCCATTAGAATCAGAGTTCGTTATAGTTCTCCTTTATCGTATAAATGTACGACATCATCTGTTACATAATACCTGATAATAGACTCATGAGATTGGACAATCACTTCTCATCTACAATGTAGTGGATTTCTGGTAATAAACATAATATTACAAAAAACTAAGGTTTTCTCTGGTTGTCTACTCGTACTAAATGTCTTGAGGAGAACCACCATCATACATTTACTTGTGTTTTAGTGATACGGAAGCAGACGTATATATAGGAAATTTACACACACAGTGTATTTCGGGTCTGTCGTTTGAAATACTTTCTTCAAGCTCATCCGTAGAAAACAATCGGTGGTTGCTCTATTTTATCTTTGTGCTCATGATAAAAAAACTTGTTCACACGACCAACCTTGACATTTAAGTGCTAGAATCTTTAAACAAATATATAATTTCCCGTGCGAATTTTGCGTCAAGAGAAAGATGAGATTACTGAAAAATTAGATGAGAATTTCAAATATTTATCCCCAGATACAAATATTATTTGGTAATTTGAATTAATTAGTGTTTACCTTTCCATTCCAGTCGGAACCTCCCACTCTAGTAACGGAACGCCTCGGAGTTTTATATGTATGTCATATAGTCCCTCATTAAAGAGATCACCAGACCATTTTGCCACCTGAAATACAAAATTTATTTGTATTTTCAACACAACTAGCTAATTCAGAATGTTTTATAAGAGAAATAGCAAATACAAATTAGGAGGAATATCGGTGATTAAGTTGACAGCCCCAACGCGATTTTACCCTTTGTAATTTTTCCTTTAAAACAAATTACGAAACCATTAGAAATATTTACATCAAAATGTTCACCTCCATGTTGCATGCGACTTATCTATTAAGAGATAGAAACCGGAAAAGGCAAAAGGAGATAACTCCATTAGATACATACCATCAACACTAACATGAGTGGCAAGCCGTACGAAATCTCATTGGTGGACTCTATGAGAATGACCGTTAAACTGATGGTCATTCGAACTACCCCGCCGAGGAAGGCGGCTGCTCCTACTAGTGCGAACGTGCCGGAATGAATGGCCTGGTTACCGTACCCCAATCTGATGACAACAAGGTCTCATAGAGAACATTTCAAGCACATATATATATATGTACACACAGCAAATCTCAAACAGCACGTGTGCATACATTTTTGTAGGCTTTGATCGTTTCCATTATTGTTAGTTAATGACACAAGCTCATTGTAAATTTTAAACAAACAACAAATGGATCCCTTAGCATATTTCAAACAACACATATTTATAGCGACAATAAAACTTTTACACAACACAGAGCAATCTGCTGCCTTTTTTTTCAAATATTAATATCCAACAAATGAACAAGATTAACTATCTATTCATACTTGACATGATTGCTGATTTTTTTAGGATGAGTGTTGTTTTTACTTACATAAAAATAAATTTGAGCAAAATATATTTGTACAAAATATAATGATAGTTTGCATTATAAAACGCAGAATAAACTATATTTTGTCACGGTACGTGTATGTTTTGATAAAATATTATTTATTAGTCATCAAATCAAACGAGTTTTCTAATAACTATTGTCCCTAATGAACTGTATTAATTTAAGTGGTTTTATGAGTGATACAATGATACATATTATGTGATAAAAAAATGGTTTAGCCGCCTAACTATGTATTTATGAATAAGAATTTCAGATTTATTTGGTTGGTACATATACCTAGCATGCGAGTATATCGGTAAAGCAACAGTAAAACCTATCTTAGTACAAAGTGACAGAAAAACAACGTACAATACGAGAAGTCGTGCCACAAATCGCCCATAGGCGGCGCCACACAGAAGGCAGGGGACGAATAAACCGCTCGGTACATTGGTACCATATGTCCAGCATGCCAGAAAGAAGAAAAATAGCGTGAACAGTCCCAAGGTGCGGAGGCTGAAACCGTCTGAAAAATAAACAAAAATCAAAGCGACTTCATGAACAATATTATATACATTGTATATATTACAAAATTAATTTTAAAAAAAACCATGAATAGATGATACATTCGTTAACATATATAATAGAATATAGATGTACTGTCAATAAATTATATTCCTATTGGGGACGCAATAGGACAAATATCAATAGGGACTTTGATAGTTTATCAAACTTTATATTTACAAAAATTAACGTGATTTAAATGTGATGAAGGGTTAAACCTGGAACCTTGGAAAACGAGTCTTTGGTGGCATTTACAATAGGAATATGTTTGATATGTGTGAGTTTAGGTTATACGTCATGTGATCAACAAAGACCATGAAAACGATACCCACGAAGGATCAATCTCACTCAAATGTCTTGGCCTAGATATAAAGCATGTGTCTCTGCCCAGTCAATTACTCTGACAACAGGTTAACCTCTCCTTACAGCCACACACTTAAAGCTAAACGCCATGCAAATGTCAGTTAGTACCATTTTGTTGTTTACAACCCGTATTCTCTCTTTCACAAGATCTTTCTGTGCTTTCATTATGATATTTCTAGCATTTTATATGTTAACTGGTCACCAAATATTAAGACTTGAAGGTCTCTACATCTCTGATGCAAAAACTGCGACGCATCGTATATTGGAATGACTGGAAGGCGATTTTGAGTCCGACGTGGTGAACACCGGAAAGATACAGAAACCCAAGTAGGAATGAGATTCACAAAACTGAAAGGAAGTAGTCGGAGTCCCAGATAAATAAATCGGCAATCACAGACCATGCCACACAGAAAAATCATGTGAGATTGACTGGGATAACTCCAAAGTATTAGAAATAGAGAACAATATGTTCAAGTGGCAGATAAAAGAAGCCATCTGGATACGCCGCAGTGGGCCAGTTCTAAATCGAGATGAGGGGGCTCTTAGACCCTTGCACATCCATGATCAAGTATTGAACAAAGCGTAGCTGAATCGAGGCATTTCGGTACATATATAACAACTATTGTAAATACGCTTACAAAGTAACCGAATTCACATCGTACACATTTTACACCTTTGTGTGTATACGCTTCACTGGTCATTTGTCTAATGAAGGTGACAGAGTACATACCATACGCGTCCAAGTCATCCTAACGTCACATAGAAAAACTGTTCATTATCAACATTTAATGCTGTTATGAAAAAGCGAGATATGCTATTAACATTTCAGCACTTTTCAGTTTCAATGTTTATAACATGTCGTAATAAAATGCCACATCATCTAAAGTTCATTTATCCATTTAAGGAGTACAAAAATATCTATCCTGGCCAAGGGTTATTGAGTGCAATNCGCAATAGGACAAATATCAATAGGGACTTTGATAGTTTATCAAACTTTATATTTACAAAAATTAACGTGATTTAAATGTGATGAAGGGTTAAACCTGGAACCTTGGAAAACGAGTCTTTGGTGGCATTTACAATAGGAATATGTTTGATATGTGTGAGTTTAGGTTATACGTCATGTGATCAACAAAGACCATGAAAACGATACCCACGAAGGATCAATCTCACTCAAATGTCTTGGCCTAGATATAAAGCATGTGTCTCTGCCCAGTCAATTACTCTGACAACAGGTTAACCTCTCCTTACAGCCACACACTTAAAGCTAAACGCCATGCAAATGTCAGTTAGTACCATTTTGTTGTTTACAACCCGTATTCTCTCTTTCACAAGATCTTTCTGTGCTTTCATTATGATATTTCTAGCATTTTATATGTTAACTGGTCACCAAATATTAAGACTTGAAGGTCTCTACATCTCTGATGCAAAAACTGCGACGCATCGTATATTGGAATGACTGGAAGGCGATTTTGAGTCCGACGTGGTGAACACCGGAAAGATACAGAAACCCAAGTAGGAATGAGATTCACAAAACTGAAAGGAAGTAGTCGGAGTCCCAGATAAATAAATCGGCAATCACAGACCATGCCACACAGAAAAATCATGTGAGATTGACTGGGATAACTCCAAAGTATTAGAAATAGAGAACAATATGTTCAAGTGGCAGATAAAAGAAGCCATCTGGATACGCCGCAGTGGGCCAGTTCTAAATCGAGATGAGGGGGCTCTTAGACCCTTGCACATCCATGATCAAGTATTGAACAAAGCGTAGCTGAATCGAGGCATTTCGGTACATATATAACAACTATTGTAAATACGCTTACAAAGTAACCGAATTCACATCGTACACATTTTACACCTTTGTGTGTATACGCTTCACTGGTCATTTGTCTAATGAAGGTGACAGAGTACATACCATACGCGTCCAAGTCATCCTAACGTCACATAGAAAAACTGTTCATTATCAACATTTAATGCTGTTATGAAAAAGCGAGATATGCTATTAACATTTCAGCACTTTTCAGTTTCAATGTTTATAACATGTCGTAATAAAATGCCACATCATCTAAAGTTCATTTATCCATTTAAGGAGTACAAAAATATCTATCCTGGCCAAGGGTTATTGAGTGCAATCTACCTTATCCTTTAATATCCAAATACCCCACCCCCAACCACCACCCACCCCACCCCCACCCACGGTTATGTACGTGATGAAATTAATCATAATCACGTGACGAATTAGTCGGAATAATATCAGATTTGTTTGCGGTTTAGATTTCGTTGACGCAGTATTACATTGTGCACCTACAGTGTTGAAGTTGACATAGCGTCATCACTTATGTCTTCCGTTTACGTTGCTTATAATATCGACAAACACTTAGAACAGATAAAGTGCTTTTTGAACTTTCCAACAGGTCTTTTACTAGTTAGGTTGTGGGAATGAGGTTTTATAATGGGCATAGAAATCATGGTATTTCAGCAATCCTGCGAAAGCAGACTTAACATTTTCTAGTTTACCAACTCGTTTTCAATTACTGTGACCGTGTCCTATTGTCTCCGTAATTAAGTTCTCGCCTACTAACTTTAGAATGACTTACCGGTGCCCGGTTGGTGAAACAGCTGTTTGATGGCTTCTTCCTGTGAGTTAAAGAAGAGAGTGGCCATGTCGTTATAGTATCCGTCAGGACAGAAGTACGTCCGGACTGTGTCTTCGATACTGCTGGACGTCCCGTTCACAAACTAAAAACAAATGTACTTGATGCTTAGTCAAACTTCTTTTATCCTGAAACCACAACTCCAGCTATTTCTGCGAAAATGTCCTTTACAACGGCTCACAAGTATTTGGCTGAATTGATTATTTATTAGAATCGAAGAAGGCTGGATTATCAAAGCTATACGGTATTAAATAACAAGAGTATTAAAAACACATATCGATAGAGGTAAATTGATATCTGAAAAAGTAAAATCGTAATTACGAAATAATATAAAACACGTGTTAAAGTCAAATAGATTTAATTGTCAATGTGTATTTTGTACTAAGGTAACGTGTTCACAACGTTTAATGCGAGTGGTCTCCCCTGTACTGATCAGGTCTAGGATGAACAACATATTGGTGAAAAAATAAATACAAGCCCCGTGTTATATAGTTTACCTGTCACGCATGCGCAGTAAATCTATAAAGGTCAAGTAGGACCTCTGCGGTCTACGGAAGCTTTAAACCCTTACATGGTGGAAAATCCGTGTACTTCCCTATGGTCTAGAATCTCCGAAGTGTCGGAGGGTAAGGGATTTGTGTTATTACTCAATGATCATTCAGTTCTGTAGATTCATATTGAGGTGTATCTTTTTACTGTCTAACAGGGTTATGTATATGAATAGCTTGAAATATGGAATAGTGCCAGTATATCACTGCGCTGGCTGTACTGGATGGTTCCAATTCCATGACGATTTTTTTTAAATCTATTATAAATTGTACATAAAAGTAAGAGTGAATGTGAATGTGCGCATTATATGTTTAATATTAAGAATGTTACATATATAAACTGCCATGAATAAGGAAGAATATCTCTCTGTATGAAAGCCATCTTATGATGTGTATATACAATTATTTATCTTATAAGGAAAGGGCGTTAATAATGTTCATGTAACTTGGGTCCAATCCTTTTGCTTTTTTTGCAATAAAATATGTTTAAACTAAGGGTTATGTAAACTGAAAACTTCTATTGCACGGCATCCGGGTACTTTCCCCGAGGGCGATGAAAGCACCAGCGTCTTAAAATGTGGGAAATGTGTACATTCTGCGGTGAGCATGGACGCTCTGAAACCATACGTTGTCGTGTACCTGTGTACCATCAACGAGGACCATTGTGGTTCCGTAAACTTAGAATATTGTGGGGAATGTGTGCGCATTTTAAGGGGACCATAGAAGCTGTAAAATCTTACACTATGTAGCTACAGTGTCCATTTCTAAAGGGTCATGGTAGATCTTAAAACTTACATCACATTGTTGGGCATTATATACATGCCTTCAGGGTCATAGCAGTCCTGTAAACTTACATTTGTGGGAATCTCCGAGCATTCCCCGAGGGCCATGGAAGCTCCAAATGTCACAGATGTGGTCACTGCCGCCACTAGTGCCGCCTCTAAAATCCTTCAGATAGGTTCAGGAATATTTTTAGTTGGATAACGCTATTATTAATTAAGATTAGAATATTACTCATCAATAACACAATTATCACATGAGATACAAAGTAAGGAAACGTCTGTTAAAAGTTTAAAATGGCAGCAATATGACAAAGCAAAATATGAACTGTTCACGATATTGCATTTCGTCATTTAGTCGTGGTACTACAGATCGAAACGTTGAATATCAGTGTTTAAAGTTTTTGAGACATGCAAAAGGACTGCAAATGGAGGAAAGGTACTTAAAAACAAAATGAACAACTTTTGTCTACAAATAGGATAGTTCACCTGAAGAGCTTGTGTTTCTTGTTCAAGTGTTTCATACGATGTTTGGTAATGGCTGTGTTGATAGTGTTGAACAATGCTCCCATTAGACCTCCGAGGAAACCCATTACAACAAAGATGGCCAAATCTGTTATGTCCCACAAGCGACAGTCGATCCTGAGCTCGTTCGTACACTGCAAAAACGTAAGCTAGGACCTAGAATCACTTTGCAAATAAACATGTAAGCACCCCTAATTATTTGCATATTTAGGTTGTGAACTTAAAGGTAAGACATACTTAGCATCTTCCATCCATTTTTGGCTTAATAGAACATTACCAGAAAAACTTGAAGTCAAAATATTAAGAAAATAGTCTAAAAAGCCTCTATTATACGTTGTATTATGTAACTGTTCATGTTTCTGTCTTAAAAAGGGGAAGAATTAGAAAATAAATCTTTTGTGTGCCCTGTCGTTATAACTGATGAATAATTTCTCATCAACACAAGCGAGAGAAGTTATGCGCAAATGTTTATACCAAAGAGATGCATGTATTTTAAAGTGAACCAATAATGATAAAGACACAAAAAAACCATAATATCTACATCTATTTTGATGAAATATATGAATCATTACAGATGACACCCATACTTTGCTTGATTTCAGGGGAGTCACACCGACGGAGTAAACATCTAGTGTCGGAAACCCTTTCCTGTCGGACAAACTAGTTTTATTTTATTTTTATTTATTTTTTTTGGTTTTATGATGACTTCCCTTCTTAATGGTGTATCTTTGTATCGGCTCTGTGTGTTGACACAGTATATATATTTATATTTACCTTAAAAACTCCAAAGTTGATGAGTCCCGGCAGATAGAAATAACCCCAGCTTTCTGAGTCGATCCCGGACAGGAAAAAATTCAACGTATAAGTTGCTGCCATTGAGCAAAAAAACTGAAGAAGGAGAGAAATAAAGAAAATCAATGCTTTCGAAAATTAACACCAATTGTTTTCCACAAGGATTAATTTTACAAGTACATTACATTTTGCATATATGTCAACAAGCTAAACTATACACTTTGTCCATCTTTCATTTTGTTATTCCAGACATTTTCTATTTATAAACTTAATATACCATACACGTAGTCGCGTGGCGTTATGGATAGCGCATTCGCCTTTTAGCAAAACGGCCGGGGTTCGATTCCCTAATCGAAATTGAAAAAGAAACTGGGTAACCTACCCGACATTGTGTGTTTACTATGGGTACTTAAAAGAATATAGAATGAACATACAACATGCGTACAACACACATACAGCATACGTACAACACACATACAACATACGTTTACGGAGAAAAGGTAATATAGACTAAAATATTGTTGTGGTCAGAAGGATTCTGTCTGTTCCAGCCATCTTTCCATACACAGTTTCATAACACGTAGGACACAAATAGCAAATAGAATAGTTCAGTTATTTGTGACAACGAATAAACTACTCACTGTTCTCCAGGTGAGACTTTGATTCCAGAACGAACACCCTTCCTCCAGGCTAAACAGTACCCCTCCTATTGGGGCGCCGAAAGCAGCTGAAATAATGATAGAGAAAATGAAGATTAAAATAGCAACCTATCCACAGAAAGAATTCCCCGAATGCGACATGTAGAAGCAATAGCAGTGACGTACATGTACCTTACTATCAGGGTAACACTCATTTAGGGACTATTAATGAAAGATCGGAAGTTTGCTAGGAAATTGTGTAGTATTAACATTCTCATGTTTTACCTTTTTGGTGTATGAACTTTGACCTTCTCGGTGTAACAACCCTACCTGTCACATATGGACTAAACTTTGACCTTCTCGGTGTATCAACCCTACCTGTCACATATGGACTAAACTTTGACCTTCTCGGTGTATCACACCTATTTGTCACATGGGGACTGAACTTTGACCTTATCTATGTATCAACCCTACCTGTCATTAGTGAACTGAACTTTGACCTTCTCGGTGTATCAATCCTACCTGTCACATATGGAATGAACTTTGACCTACTCGGTGTATCAATCCTACCTGTCATTAGTGAACTGAACTTGACCTTCTCGATGTATCAACCCTACCTGTCACAGATGGACTGAACTTTGACCTACTCGGTGTATCAATCCTACCTGTCATTAGTGAACTGAACTTTGACCTTCTCGGTGTATCAATCCTACCTGTCACATATGGAATGAACTTTGACCTTCTCGGTGTATTAACCCTACCTGTCACATATAGACTAAACTTTGACCTTATCTATGTATCAACCCTGCCTGTCATATAGGGACTGAACTTTGACCTTTTCGACGTATCAACCCTACCTGCTACACCAGCAGCTGCTCCACCGGATACGAAATCACGTTTATCCCTGTAAAAAAATCACGTATGTAATTTGTAAATACAGCTGAACAATATGAATGATGTCGACAGGAAATAGTGCATGCTTAAATGCTAGCAAAGGAGGTCAATGTCGGAGCATTGTAACACAAACAATACACGATTGCTATTGATCTGTCTCGGAACGGTAAGTCAATTTTAAATCGAAACTCTGGGTGAGTAATTTCCTATTTGAAATGCGGATAAGTATATCATGAATTATCTAAACGTGATGACATTTCCAATAGTCTCTAGAAATTTTGACTTTTTATCAAACTCGTCACATTTCTCGAAACATAATTACAACTGATTTCAGAAATCTTAATTTGAATTGAAGTGAGTACAAAACAAACTCGTTGTTTATATAAATTAAGGTAATGGGAAAGTAATGACACACATCGACGGGACTACCATGGTATATAAAATACCCATCTCGAAGGGTAATGATTGATAGAAACTAACTCAATTCCTCAGACAATGCATATCTTATCCATGTTATAGTAACAATGATCTAACAATAGATGATCTTATTGAAATAAAAATAACGATGCTAGGTCTGGACCCAGGCTGTGTTTTCTGTGCTATAAGGTTTGTAATCGTTTAAAGAAGAATAACGTCAAAACTTAACATAAAACCTTGTTGTTGTTTCCCTAACAAGTGTGTGTAATAAGTTTGATATTGTTTACCTGTCTGTACGGAAGAAACTGTACTTCTTTAGGTTCACCTTCTTAAATGCAATGCTTTGAAACTGAAATAAACAAACCGTTGTCATTTTCATATTTACACGTCTATTATACTTAAAAAAGTTGCTGTGACGTCATTTTACCCGTGCCTCTATTGAATCAATTTTAGCACGTTGATGGTACATCAGGTACCAACGAATTTGTACAACGCGACAGAATTAATAAAATCTGCACGAGATATTGTGCTACCACGACTAAAAAAATATTTGTTTCCGCCGCATTCAGCCGCCTCTCACGAAAGATAGGAAACCCATTGTTACACTAAATACTACTTTCACCCATTGCTACACTAAATACTACTATCACCCATTGTTACACTAAATACTACTATCACCCATTGTTACACTAAATACTACTATCACCCATTGTTACACTAAATACTACTATCACCCATTGTTACACTAAATACTACTATCACCCATTGTTACACTAAATACTACTATCACCCATTGTTACACTAAATACTACTATCACCCATTGTTACACTAAATACTACTATCACCCATTGTTACACTAAATACTACTATCACCCATTGTTACACTAAATACTACTATCACCCATTGTTACACTAAATGCTACTATCACCCATTGTTAAAATTATATTAATAATTATATAATTCGAGGTTCTTATATACCGTTTTATCACAACCTAGTTCGTAGGTCGTCTCAAAGCAGTTCACAAATTATTATCCATGGTTATAGGACCTTTGCAACCAGCCATTGTGGAGCATACAGCAGGTGCTGCCATTTCGGCACTCACGGCTAGCATTCTACAACTGTCAAACCACGTACTCATTTACAGCTTAGTAGACTGGAACAAGCGGAGTAAAGTATCTTGCTCAAAGATACAACACAGTGCAGTGCCGTGCCTCGAACCAGCAACCCTATTAAACACATTTTATTTTTAATTTAGTTACGATGCCATACCAAGGACCAGTTGGCCAACACAGGGATCCTTTGGGAACATTTTATTTTGATGAAATATGTTTTTCATATTTTATGTCTCATGCGATTACAGTTCGACTATAACAGGTTTGGCCTTAATATGTTATAAGTGATTACTATGGCAACAAGTAAGTATTTTAATGAGAAAATATGTTTTGTTTTCTATATAGAAATATATTCAGATATAATGTTTCCTAAACTATACATTGTTTATATCAGTGCATTTTCGCTTCTTTCTTTCACGTGGTAAGGAAATGTTATTAGTTTAGAACCCTCAATTATATTTTTTAGATTATGATAAATCGTATCGTATTTCATGTGCTTGGTTACTACTTTACTAGTTGACTAGCCAGCTATTTCTGAATAAAAAGTAAGTTTCGAATTTCTGTTTTTACAAAAATGACGACAGAATCAAATCAACCGATAGAATTTACTGATTATATACATCACGTAAGTCTGGAAAGGATTGAATTCTACAAGCTAACACAAAATCGCGATCGGTAAAACCAGCATAGCATGGAATGAAAAGTGGCATAGCATGGAATGAACACGCAATAGAATTGTAAACGAGTGAAACAACACAAATGTACATAGAATGGAAAAAGACGCTTACCAACTAGAGAAATAATACAAATGTACATAGAATGGAAAAAGACGCTTACCAACTAGGGGAATAATACAAATGTACATAGAATAGAAAAAGACGCTTACCAACTAGAGAAATAATACAAATGGACATAGAATGGAAAAAGACACTTACCAACTAGAGAAATAATACAAAGATACATAGAATGGAAAAAGACGCTTACCAACTAGAGAAATAATACAAATGTACATAGTATGGAAAAAGACGCTTACAAACTAGGGGAATAATACAAATGTACATAGAATTAGATTCCAAACCAGAAGTAAATAATTTTATATAAAAAAAAAAAATGGCGGTGATCCCGTTCTATGTATACCCACCTGAGGTACACCCGCCCCGATGATAGCCCCGCTATGTATCATCGGTCCTTCCTTCCCCACAAACAGACCTGTGTAAAGTAACACAACAATAGAGACATCAAATCAAACAGATTTTAAAATTAAAATCCAACCAGTATCACCTGTTAATAAAGAGGTTAACTATGGTTCATGCATGTGTAGCGGGAAACTAACGTAAAGGCTACTATTCCGTCTTTGCGTATTGCAGAGTTATCTTCTCTTGGGAGCAGGTATTGATTGTTACGTCATTGGTTTGTGTGAGAAAATTACGTCGTTTTCTCAAATATTGATGACGTTACTCTCACAAGCAAATGACGTAACAATTAATACCTGCTCCCAAGAGAAGAAATCTCTGCAATACGCAAAGACGGAATATTACGTCATTAATTTCGGAGTTTTTCTAGAAGAGCTCTTTATTGCAAAATTGTAAGGAAGCGGTGACCTAAATATACAGTGTAGGTATCAAGATGTGGAGTTATCCTGAAATATACTAGTTTATGAATGAAATCAATATTGCAGTTATGAAAAGCGTTGATGACGGGACTTTTTTACCGAGTCATATTCAATTTTATCTGTGCGAGAAATGGGTTTTCATTACGGGTTCATCGACATACATGCATTCGCTTACAATATAATGACGACGGCATTATTAGGGCAAATGACACGTGCTTTCGCAAATATGTTCTTTTTCTCTGAACAAAAAATCCCTCTTAAAGCAAGAGAAAGTGTACTGAAAAACGAGCATTTCTATCAAACTTTAATTTTCACAATTAACCAAATAAGTGTGTCCTTGTCTTTTCCTTACAACGATTTTGTACACGGAACAATCCGCGTACTAACAGAAGCAACAGAAAGACATAGCAGGGTTTTTCTAGTCCATAAGAAAGCAATATATTTTAGTCGTTTTTTTATAGTTCATAAGACTTCATTCATTACGGTGGTACATTTAGGACATGCACAATATTATTTTAACATTACCTATCTCGAGCGCTCGGCATAACTTTTTCGAGCGCTCGACTTATTATCTCGGGCATGTCCTAATTAAGTGCTCAAACACTCATACGCAAATTTACTTAACCTCTTATTTGAGGTTAGAACCTTGGTTGTTTTTTGTTACAGGGATGAATATTTTTAGCGTTGAAAAGTATTTCCAATAGCTTTTATTACTGTAAATATGTAACTGAATGGTTCTTCTGTTGAAGACTCGTAAATCAACGTCGGGATCAATAAATCACGTGACACTCGTAAAACAGCAAAAGCTTAAAAACTCCCATTTAAACCGTGAACATCTTTGACGTCGCCATCTTGAATTGATGTATATGGCATAGCAGTTGAACAAAAATGAATGCGAAATATGAAAACCGATCCAGGACATATAAGATAACCTATTTCATTGTGAAATACATGACAATATTAATACATTGACATACACATTACATACATCAGAATTTTTTTATGAGAAAACAGTATATAAATCGGAAGAAAACTTGTACAAACATACGTACCCCCTGCCACACTGAAGAGAACCCCGACACTCTTGCTGACCAAGGTGAGAAGGCGGCCGACCCGAGGAACTTTGACTCCGTTCAGGTAACACTTGATCTCCGGGATACCTGAACCTCCGGCTATTGGCTGGAAACCAAACGGTGTATAGTAAGGCAATATTTCCCCCTTATATTCCTTAGCTGTAACACTAGTTAGGAACAAAGGAAATGAGCAGGAAGAAGAAATGCAGAAGGAACATGCTAACCAAACAGCTTATAGTTAGGAACATGAGTTGTTGGTAATTGATGCCTGAAGCACAGACGAAGACGTCGACATTGTTCAAATAGTGTTCAGCTGTAAGTAAGACATCTTTATCAAACAATTTATTCTGGAATTAATATGTATTAAATTCAGTTAAAACCTAATAGAGCAGTCCCTTTTCTCTAAACGGTTGTACGAAATAGCATTCATCAAAAGCATATTAAATGAGAATCTGCTCTGTAGTTCAGTAAAGGAAGTACATACCTGCCTCCTCTACAGTGAAATCTGTCAATATACGTACCTCTATGACGACTAGACAGGACGCCACTATAACGAAACCCACATTGAACAAAAGTAGATACAATAAGGGTACCACCAGGCATCCGTCCTCGGAACACTGTAAAATAGCTGACCAGTGGTCAAGGCAAATACCATCCGGTTCACTACATCATCAATCGACACGGTGCTCTCAATGCTGGACTTGTATACAAGCCAGCCAATATCAAATCTTGGATTTACTTTTTACCAGAAAACTGTGCAGCTTTTCAAAAAAAAAAATCTTTAAAACACATCTGTCAACTAAACAGGAGTAAATATATCGAAGCAAAACTAATTAAATATTTTGTTCGTACTAAAGCATGGTGCGTTGCCTGTTTGACCTAAGTCGGTATAGTCAATGGATACGGACCATACCGGAACCGGAACTAGTTCTAGTTAGGAAATAGTGGAAAGAATATGTCATATCAGACCAACTGCACCATCATTTTCGGAAACCTTCCTAAAAAAAATTATATAATAAGGTTTTTATTCAACCTGAATATTATACATTTGGTTTTGTACAAAAACATTGGAAATAAATATTGTAATAATGTTATAAGTTTATCAAGATAACATTATTTACTTTTAAAATTAATAAAATCCTTAAAGCATTTCTATCACACATTTCTTAGTTGTGAAAGAGAGTTTATCATAGAAAGGTACATGTAGGGTATGTTCTGAACAGCTTCAAATGAGGGGGAAACTATGTGATTCCTTCGCGTCAACTATATAATACAGGTAGGATATATCCTTGACAGCTTCAAATGAGGGGAAAACTATGTGATTCCTTCGCGTCAACTATATAATACAGGTAGGGTATATCCTTGACAGCTTCAAAAGTAAGAAGGGATATTTATCTACTCCTATATTAGGAATAGGGTGTGCCCTGGAAAGCTTCAAATATGAGAAAACAATTTAATGGGACTCCTGAACACCAGCTATGTATTAGGGACAGGAAATCAAACTTGGTCAATGGCATTTTACTAGAAACACCTTTTAAATATAATGTACTCTTCATCAAGGATACAATCTTCAACGGTGTCAAACTTTAATTTTGTCAATTTCTTCACCACAAAGTCAATGAAAAGCGCTACCTGTGAAACAAAGAAAAACATACATGAAAGCTACAGTTTAATAAAGTACAAGAACCTACATAAGTCGCTCGTAATTACTTATAAATGTCTAGAGAAACTGACAATATGTGTATCTAGTAAATCTAATGTTCTCTTCAATGGCACGCCACTTGTGGTGCGGTAAATACTTATATATAGCACGTGCTTTCGTCTCCCGATTTTGTGCGGGTTATGATGGTTCCTTTTGTTTCGGTGTATCCTCAGTTCCTCTCGATGTCTTTCTTGTCTTTGTGAATTGACGATGCAGTAACTTTTTGTAAGTAAAACCTTGCAAAATCGATATTATTGGTTGGTTCGACGTATCAGGCATGTCAGATATTTTCAACATTTCTTACGCTTTAACTAAAAACTGTAAAACCTGCAGTGAACATATAATTGACAAAAAATATTCTATAATAATTTCACTAAAAAAAATCGACCAAAAGCATCGAGCCCCTGAATTGCAAGACCGCTAAAAAGAACAATTACGACAGGAAACAGTGGAGAGTAATGGTTTTGTTGACACTTTGCTATTGTCTATTGTATATATACACTTTAAACATTGGAGGCAAATTATTTCGATGGTAACGTTATCTATGTTATCAATGTTATCAATGTATTCAATGGTATCTATGTTATCAATTTATTCAATGTATTTAATATTATCAATGAAATCCATGCTACCAATGTGTAACATGTGTTACCGATGTGTTCAAAGTATTCAATGTTATCTATGTCTTCAATGTTATCTATGTATTCAATGTTATTTTTGTATTCAATGTTATCTATGTATTCAATGCTATTTATGTATTAAATGTTATCTATGTATTAATGTTACCTATGTCTTCAATGTTATCTATGTATTCAATGTTATCTTTGTATTAAATGTTATCTATGTATTCAATGTTATTTATGTATTAAATGTTATCTTTGTATTAAATGTTATCTATGTTTGAAATGTTATCTATGTATTCAATGTTATCTTTGTATTCAATGTTATCTATGTATTCAATGTTATCTTTGTATTCAGTGTTGTCTATGTATTCAATGTTATCTATGACTTCAATGTTATCTATGTATTCAATGTTATCTATGTATTCAAAAGTATATATATATTCAATGTGTTATATCTTTTCAATGTTATCTATGTATTCATAGTTATCTATGCATTCAATGTGTTCTGAGTATCCAATGTTATATATGTATTCAATGCTATCTATGTATTCAATGTTATCTTTGTATTCAATGTTATTTATGTATTCAATGCTATCTATGTATTCAATGTTATTTTTGTATTCAATGTTATCTATGTATTCAAAGGTATCTATGTATTCAAAAGTGTTTATGTATTGAATGGGATCTATGTATTCAATGTTATCTTTGTATTCAAAGTTATCTATGTATTAAATGTTGTCTATGTATTAAATGTTATCTATGTATTCAATGTTAACTATATATTCAATGTTGTCTATGTATTTAATGTTATCTATGTATTCAAAAGTATATATATATTCAATGTTATCTATGTATTCAATGTTATCTATGTATTCAATGTTATCTTTGTATTCAATGTTATCTTTGTATTCAAATGTATCTATGTATTCAAAAGTATCTATGTATTGAATGCTATCTATGTATTCAATGTTATTTTTGTATTCAATGTTATCTATGTATTCAAAGGTATTCTATGTATTCAAAAGTTTTTATGTATTGAATGGTATCTATGTATTCAATGTTATCTTTGTATTCAAAGTTATCTATGTATTAAATGTTGTCTATGTATTAAATGTTATCTATGTATTCAATGTTAACTATATATTAAATGTTGTCTATGTATTCAATGTTATCTATGTATTCAAAAGTATATATATATTCAATGTGTTATATGTATTCAATGTTATCTATGTATTCATAGTTATCTATGCATTCAATATGTTCTAAGTATCCCATGTTATATATGTATTCAATGTGATTTATGTATTCAATGTTATCTATGTATTAAATGTTATCTATGTATTCAATGTTGTGTTTGTATTCCAAGGTATATATGTATTCAAAAGTATCTATATATTGAATGTTGTCTTTGTATTCAATGTTATCTATGTATTCAATGTTATCTTTGTATTCAATGTTGTCTTTTTATTCAATTTTATCTTTGTATTCAATGTTATCTGTGTATTCAAAAGTATATATATATTCAATGTGTTATATGTATTCAATGTTATCTATGTATTCAATAGTATCTATGTATTCATAGTTATCTATGTATTCAAAGGTATCTATGTATTCAAAAGTATCTGTATTGAATGGTATCTATGCATTCAATGTTATCTTTGTATTCAATGTTATCTATGTATTCAAAGGTATCTATGTATTCAAAAGATCTATGTATTGAATTGTATTTATGCATTCAAAAGTATTTATGTATTCAAAATTATATATGTATTCAATGGTATATATGTATTCAATAATATCTATGTGTTTAATGCTATCTATGTAAACAATGTTACCAATGAAATCTATGCATTCCATGTTATCAATGTTATCAATGTTATCATTGTATTAACTGTTATCTATGTATTCAATGTTATCAACGTTATCAATATTATCAATGTATTCAATGTTATCAACGTTATCAATGTTATCAATGTATTCAATGTTATCAATGTTATCAATGTATTCAATGTTATCAACGTTATCTATGTTATCAATGTATTCAACGTTATCTATGTATTCAATGTTATCTTTATATTCAATGTTATCTATGTATTCATAGTTATCTATGCATTCAATATGTTCTAAGTATCCCATGTTATATATGTATTCAATGTGATTTATGTATTCAATGTTATCTATGTATTAAATGTTATCTATGTATTCAATGTTGTGTTTGTATTCCAAGGTATATATGTATTCAAAAGTATCTATATATTGAATGTTGTCTTTGTATTCAATGTTATCTATGGGTTCAATGTTATCTATGTATTCAATGTCATCTATGTATTCAATGTTATCAACGTTATCTATGTTATCAATGTATTCAACGTTATCTTTGTATTCAATGTTATGTCTATGTATTCAATGTTATCTATGTATTAAATGTTATCTATGTATTCAATGTTATCTTTGTATTCAATGTTATCTATGTATTCGATGTTATCAATACAAACATTCAATGACTTACCATCCCTGTTAGAAAGCCAACGAGAAAAGTCACAATCCATTTTACTAGCGCTAGTTTAAGTGCAGACTGAAACAAAATAAGCCAAACTTTAGTACCCTCGCAACATGAACTGTTGCTACGTACGTAAGTTATACACGGAAAATTGGAAAGTCAGAAAGCGAGTGAAACAGTCGATAACTACTCCCTTTTGATAACATTTAGTAATCCTCGCACGAGGGCTGTTATACTGAATTGTCAGTTTATAGATAAGTAGAAGATTATAATTTATATATAGACAATATTTATCCTTGTGGCAGACTAATGAGTAATCGTCAAGTGATAAATTTGTAGATATGTAATATTTCAACTTCAACAGCAAAAAAACATCACAGCTACCAATTGTCCGTGATATTTGAGGGGTTTTAAAATCATCAATTAAACATGTACATGGTGCTCTGAATATTTTCTCCCGAGAGAAAATAATGCAAAATACGGTCAGACACTGATCAGATTGATCAGACTAATATATCCGTTTAAACTTGTATAATCAAATGATGTGACTGCTAACGAAATATTCACCCGAAATTCACAAATCTACCATCAAATTTTCTTACTCGCCGAAGCATACTAGTTACATTATTTAAATCGTGCTGAGAGTTAAATCATCTGAGGATATTTTTATAGTTGGTTTTACAAAACGGTATTTATATTAACATATTTAAAGTCTAAAAACTCTCCACATATATAACATTGTTTAAGTTGCTTCTTCTGAGTGGAGTGTCTGAGCAACGTCATACTAAGTATATTTATCACTGAAAGACCAACAGAGTAGGAAATGAGTATAGCAATGGGAGCTGGTATATTACGGTTTAAACTAATGGTAAGGTTCTGGGAGAAATCACTAATAACCGATAATAATTTATGAACACTCGTAACTTGGTGAAACTGCATTAATGACCCCTGTCACACTGCACTGTGTTTTTTTCGTAAATGCAGTATTCATCTGGGATATAAATGTAGCATAGTTAGGCCAGGACATCTCTGTTGACTAAGTGGTTCAATCGGTAAGAGAAATAGTATAACAATCTGAAGTCCGTAGTTTGATACCTGGTCTAACTCTGATTTGTTTAACACTTCTGTTGATTGTATTCTTTATTTAATTTTTATTACATTTCGACAAATATAGTCCCGCAAAGTATCGTTTCTTTTCTAAGATAATATACAAAAGAAAACATCTGCTGCATTTTTGTAATGCGAAGTAACATTCCTTGGAAGTGGTATAGGGATTCTTCAGATATAGCATACGAGAGTGACACCTACATCGAATGGCTACACAGGGCTCACTGTTTTAGCTGTAAGATATTTTAAATATTTGGGACATTTTCTATGAAGACATTTTTAGGATTATAGAGCATTCAGATTTTCTTAAAAAAGCAGTAGTCTGTCAAAGCAGCGCTCGTTCACTATAAATCGCTCATTTACTTACCTGCTGCTGACCAAGCTCATTAACATATCGTTGATAGGGCCTGTTAAAACAGCGGTCATAATCCAGGCTCTGGAAAAAATAAAGCGTTAATTAAACACCTTGATTCAAAATAAATTCTCAGATATGTATTTAATTGTATATATATCAAATAACACAATTGAACTTTCCTTTAGAAATAATGTACGGAAGTGATAACTCCAATTATATATTCTTTATTTAAGGTAAGGAAGGTAAACAAAGATACTTTCTACAGGTTTCGTCATCATATTAACATGCAGTAATGACGTGCTTATTCTTCCAGGCATTCTTACCAGATTGACAACTGTTATATATAGTATATTAATGCATTACTTGGTTGTATTGTATGTTACCAGTATCATTATATATGCCCAAAGATGCAAGGAGACCTTGATTTACGTGTTCAGCGTCCACACAAAGCATACACGTCTATTTACGTAGTTAAATGATACACATTGATTATGAACCTTATATCTGGTACAATGAGAGCTTAAAATAACTTAATACCACAGCTGTCTACTATACAGGTACACCTGAACAACACTTCCCATTGTACCAGATGTCACATACAAAAACGAAACAAAGTCATGAAACGTCTATAAGAACAGTTTGGTTATAGATAATCAGAAAGTCTAACAAAGTAAACAGTTAATTGTCCTTATTGTCTTTTCTTCCATTTAAGTCTCCTCCGTGGTACGAAAGGTTAAAAGTATGAAAAATATCCGTATCATATTTAATAATAATAATAATAATAATAATATACACCATTTGATTTAGCGCCTTATCTAGCTAACATAAGCCACCCCAAAACAATTTACAGTACAAATAATGCAATAAGCATATACATTAATCAATGCATTTTTTGAGGAATTTTGCATAAGCTGCCTTGTCAGACGCTAACTACTAGTCCTATGCCATCTTGCTAATATCTCCCCATGTGTGTATGCCTGTGTGTGTGCTGGAGATATGTATTGTGTGTAGAATTCAGCGAAACGTGGAAGGTGCGTATTAAACCGTTTAAAACGTTACAAATTTACAATTGTCGGCTACAAACGATAATTAACACTTAAACAAGTATTTCAGGTTAACTTTGCCAGCTACAAGGCCACAGTCTGCCTCGTAAACTGACATCAACAATCATCCACATTGTTATGTGAAAATATTTGCAATCTCGTTAAACGCATGTACATGTAATTTTGTTTTTCTGTGTATCCAGTGGTCTTACATGATTGAGAACATCTAGCAATGTATTATGGTTTCACATTCTATTCCCGTTTTCATCATTCTGTTTTATACGGACTTATTAATGCTCAAAAGCAAACTTATCCTTTTCAATAGTTCACTAGTTTATAGAGTTATTTTTCACTCATAAAAACAATAATAGCATTATGTAAATGCTTAAAATACCTAAACACAGTCGACGCCTCATTTTGTCCTTGTTTACATACCTCGTAGTCTTTCCGGGGTAATATGTTCTGTCGGTGGGAATTTGTACTCAGTAGAGGGCGCTGTTAAAGAAATATCATCAATTATAAACTCATAGTAAAAAATACTTCCGTAAGATAATTTCCTTCTTTACCTCCTGAAATCGATAGAGAGTTAAATAGGATCACTTTATTTACAGTGTTGCGTGAAATTAAACATTTCCATTTATTTTTGACTGCAACAAAATTAGAAAATGTTATCCCGGGGCACGTACAACACTACCCGAAAAGCAGCGTTGGCATCAATGTACATACATGTATATAAATAGAGGTGTAACTAACGGATCTGACAATAGGACGGAGAGGGTACAATAAGAATTAGGAAACACGTTATTCAAAATACTTTAATTGAATCCCTTCAATATATATTGTGTATATACTTATCACCTGTTTATATTTATAGATAATTTGGTGACAATGCTTCGGGATCTTTCTGATTCTGATGCATTTTCAATAATAAAGGAAACTGCAAATATAATAGTAGGTAAGCAAGAGTTATCAATTATCATAAAGCTGTGTTAGTGCGGAAGGTGATTAGCCTTCTCTGCATAAATTTTACTCAGGGACTAGTGACGAAATGTTTATTTTTCGATCAACACTTAGGCACATGAGGAAGAAACGGGTTTATATTGGTGTCCCCTATGTTTTCGTGTTAATGAAGTAATTTTATGATAAGACTATAACCAATCAATTAAGGTTATGTTATCTTAATGTACAACACTGGTTTACTTACCAGAGATTTTACCTAATTGACCTATGTACACTCTTAGTTATAACCATCAATCTCAATCTAACGATCCCTCCTTATATTTATTTATCATAAAAAGGGAAAGTGGACTGTTATAAAAAGAATTTCTTTACATTTTATGTATGATTCTTATAAACTATTTCTTTATATTAGTTTTCATGGAATAGAGTCAACTCGAATCAAGCATCATACGTTAATGATATATAAATCATGTTTACATTATACAATCACTTCCTTAAGGAAGACAAGTACATTTGTGTGTCAGAAGACGACCATTTTGAATCTAGGGACATGCTAATCTTGATCTCAATTTCAATTATTAAATTATCAGTAAACGTGTAATTAAGAATTTGAAGTTTGGTCCTACTCCCAGTGTTATAACAGACGACAATACAGATTTATCTTAAGTAGGCTGATAGTGAGGCTATGTAAACAAACTAACACGCGTGTAGTGTATGGAAGTTTGTGTATATATACGACAGTTATAAGGGGGCGGTTCCTACGCCGACACTTTAACCATATACAATCTATCACTGCTAACACTGTTACCAGAACTAAATGTATATCATATTTTACCATTTCATGTACACGTGTTTCGCCCGTCCTGTCATCCCCGGGTAGGTTACCACGCCGACAACACGTACAACCATCCATGATGAAGTGTTCATCGGTGTTTATCACTCATGCCCTTTGACCTCCGACCTAAAGGTTAATTTGACCGGAAGTTTATCATTGTTTATCACTCATGCCCTTTGACTTCTGACCTATAGTTTAATCTTGATGGAAATGTAGACTTGTATACAACTCATGAGCTATGCTGAAGTTTATAGGGGTTAAATATTGAACAAATGTCAATTTCTTATGAATTTTACAAAATGGTTGCTGAAATGGAGATATTTTATTATCGGTGTCTCAGTGATAAATAAATATAAATAAGTTCTAATGATATACGGATAAATAGCGGTTCTCGTCAAGTGATGGTTTGTAATCAACTTTATCTAACTCGGGTGTTTTTCGTAATTTGAAAATTAACTTTATAATCAACCATCAGGAGTTTGGAGACCATTTTTCCCAAAATATTGAGACATTATATCTAGACAACTATATGTTTCTCTCGAGAATGAATTATTCCTGTTTCCAAACCGGGAAACAATTGCCATAAACTATGACGTCACAATGGAAGATGACGTCGCAAAGCATTGCTACTTCACGTCAAAATTAGGATATTTACCAATGAAACCACGTCTAGGGTTTTACCCACTAGTGGATAATTAAAATCGTTTACCAACTCCTATCAGGTTTACCCTATGAGTTGGGAGTGAGGAAACCTATAGTGGTTGTAAGTAAAATAATAACAGGTAATACATTTTAGTTGCTAATAGGTTCCTCAGAAATGTCACCTTTACAAATGCGTTGCTGATCTTTTTACTGTACAATTCAATAGTATATATCTCCATAGGAAGTATATTGTTTGCCTTACTAGACTCCGTATATATATACACATTATTTATTTGCATTCAAGGAATTATACAAATATATAAAAAAAAAATCATTCATATATTTTTACTCTCTTACAGATGGAAATATTGAATTTCACTTTTTATTATTTGATAATAAATTTCAAATTATCAGGTGCATTTAACCAAATAGTACCAATGAAACAAATATTTAAGGCACAATTATCGAATGTGCGTATTATTGAATATTTTCACTTTTATTTTCACATTTAGGAATATTAAGCTAACAGTTCATGCATAACATGATATGGTAAGGATATGAATCTGTCTCCCTGTCCCATCACGCTGTGGCATAACCTCTTATTAGTTTCATTTTGTATATAGCTAAGCTCAGCTGGGCAATACATTAGGTATATCAGTCGGTCAATGGTATAGTATAACAATATGACCCCTATTAATGTTTTACGCTCAGAACAATGTCGTTGGTTACATTGTGTTACTTCATCTGCATAATTTTTCATAAAAGGATGGTTTTCTTTTCAGAAATGATTTATTTAGCTATAATATATGTTGGAGGGCGTCACAATATATACGTTTTCTGCTTTGTATACTGTTAGTGTTAAAAACCAGATATTATGAAATGAAAGCATTGTTCATAGTAATCGGAGATAGGATATAATATTGACATCATTTGATCAATCAACGATTTAAATCATGGTCCAGTATAATACAGTTGCATGTTAAGTATATTTAAAGCTAAGAGGGACTGGATTTCGGCTATACTACTACAATAAGATTTCCTAATGATAAAGGGAAAGGCGTTATCAAAGTCACTTGCGGTATAGCAGGGTAAACAGACAAAGGCGTGTTGAAATATAAATAAGACTAAATCGAACGAGATTGATTCGTTTTCTAAATTGCGCTTACTCCTGTGGACCCGTTTACGATAACGTCGGAACTGCCCGTGATAATAAATAATCTAAATCACTTCAATTACATTGTTCCTCCTTCGTATGCGGTAGCCTTTCGTTCGCTAAAATGAGCATTGTATGATTCTTAAAAAAAGTGTTTTTAAATGCTTATTTTACCTATTTTTAAATTGTGACAAAAAAGTAATTAAGATGATATTTAATTGCATAAGTGAAAAACTAATGCTTAAGCGGTCACTGTCTAGCGCTCTTACCATATTATACTGTAACACACACACACACATACACTGTAACACATTGTAAACTATTCAACTTTCCCTTACATGCATGAGCAGACCTGTTTTGGGGTGTTTACATTTTTGGCACGAGACGAATATTTAAATACTTTTGATTGGGTGAAAATTCAAGCCGACACAAGTTGGCTCGTGCCCTGGTGTGTGTCGTCTGCTCCCTATCACGTCAGTCGCGCGCGGGTCGAGGGGTACAAACAAACTTCAGTCCTACTCATGGGTGGAAGGTTTTGTTTTCGTGTAGACAATGACATGTTATATGTGAGGAAAGTCTTACCAATTTACTAGTTAAAACAAAGTATGGCGCCTAGTGATACTTCTGTGAAGAAAACCGAGTGTATTTCGTCCGTGAAACCTAAAGGGAGGGTATGTATATGGATAGTTACTTTCTTGATAACAAAATCGTATACTAGATTTATATATTGATGATAACTTGTCCATACACGACTTTACCCTTTGTTTGTTTGTGGTGTATACTGTTACAAACACAGCCGTCATGTTTTACTTATTTTTTTCCCCATTAAATGTGGCTTCCTTGATTTACGTATTTTAAACTGTATTGACACACTTGTATCGTCGTTCTTCATTAAAACTGACCAGCAGTATACGTGTAAATCAATCTCGACTGGCACAGTAAATACACATCAAGAACTTTACATTTTACGTGACTCAGACGTAAATAATAGGAAGGGAAATATCATATCAACTTGATGATGTATTGTATCATCGAACAAAACTAACTTTGAAACATTTTTCTGTAAATTATTTTAGCATATATATGTGAAAAATTTCAGAATTTTTTGGATTTTTTTTTTTTATCTATGACGCACTTTGTTAAATTGTGAAATAGTGTCCAATCCTTTTACATTACGTTCAATATATACTGTATAACGGACGGAATTAGCGACTTATTATTATCGGGTTAATAGATTTCTACAGTAGAGTTGATTTAGCGGATCCAACAATGAAGGGGGCGAAATGAATATACCACGAAAATTAAATGTAAAGCAGCAATCAAAATACTTACCACTGTAATTCATATAGACTAGTAGTACAAGTACAATTCTTCAAGTTTCAATAGATATTTATGAACATGTACCATAAACAATTATTTGAAAAATGAATGTACATATATTCACTGTTTTATCTTAATCCAAAGCAAGGTTTTAATATGTTTAGGTGAATAAACCTTTGATTGAGAAGCGGAGACGGGAGAGAATCAACGACTCTCTACAACAGCTACACGACATGGTAACCCAGCTCGACCGTCAAACAAAGGTGAGCTGATTAAACGGACACAAAGTTAAGGATGTATGCTACTTTGGTGATACAAATACTATCACAAAAGAGCTTCACAGCAAAACAAGATAAATTCATTCTTTATGAATAGGAAGTCTTACTTTGTACTAGAACACTACTATCTATTGATAACTGATCAGGTTAAAACGAAGTATAATATGTTAAAGGAGGAAACTCTAATATCTATTTAAGATTTTTATATGTGGGAAGCATTTGCCATTAACACATATAACAAGTATTAAGCTTAAGGTAAAATATGTCTTCAAGGGAGGTAACTATAACTCAGAACACAGGTTTCATGCCTAACGCAGTATGTACCCTGAGCAAATTGGCCCTTTACAAATTCAAAACAATTACGGAAATTTTAAATTACTTTTCATATTTGCAAGTCCATTGCTTCAATAATAATGCGATGTAGGTAACGCTTTCGTTTTCGAAAATGCAGAGTTCACTTCAGGGAATTCACATGTTCCTTCCTTAAGCGATGTTGTTACCTCAGTTTGGGTGTTGTTTTCCTTTTGTGTAGGTGCCACTTCAGTCGAGTTTTCCTTATTGATGAATTATGTACATAAAACTGTGAGCTGTCATTTGACATTTAGCCATAAAGAAAACCAAGTTTATACTCGAAGTGATGATATAAAGTGGCAAAAACGTGTGTGCACTTTTCAGCATAAACTGCCATGCTTTCTTCTGTTATATCTAGAAAAATTACCCGTATGTAGATCCATGGCAAACGTGGGTTCACGACTGGTAGGCACTTTCATATCTTCGAAGCAGATTTAATTGGGACGCAGCTACCCGCAATCGAAATTCCCATTAACTTAAACAGGTTCTGGAAATGTGAATCCTAAACTCCATAATCTTTTAAATTCAATCATAAAAAAAAAAGATTTATAACACAAGTTTGTGATCTTGAATTGTCTATTGTTTTGTCAATTCCATTTTATGATTTTTCAGATTGGAAGACCAGTAAAATTGGAGAAAGCTGACATTTTGGAAATGACTGTAGAATATGTCAAGAGTTTCAATTCGCAAGGTAACCTCGAACGGGGTCTTTTATTTATGCAAAGTTGACCAGTGAAAAAATCTTTAAATACCCTACTCAGGATGTTCATTAAAAAGACGTAGTGAAAATCATGCATGTTTAAAGGCATGATTTATTGAGGACGGTGTAAAACCAGGAGAGAATATAACGCAACCTTACAATCACATTTTTCTTAATATAGACAAATCAGTGTTCATCTGAAAAGAGAATCATTTCAAATGAAAAGGGAGGGATGTATGACGCCATTAAAACGCATGTCGAATTAAAGAACAAAAAAGTGCATATGTAATATGAATACACTGTAAAGACATTAAAATATACCGTAAGTATACTATACATATACCATAAGATTACTGCTATAAATATACGGTTAATATACAATATATTTACCGTTAAAAAGTTATGATTTTATAGTATATCTACAATATATTTACAACATATTTCTATTGTGTACTGATAGTATCTTTTCAGTATATTTAAAGAAATGTATTTAGAGTATATTTACAACACAATGACAGTATATTTTATTATATTTAGAATCTATATAATATTTACAAAATCAATATACTGTTAATATACAATAAATATTATGTAAATATATTGCAAATATGCTTTAAAAATCTGCAAGTGTACTGCAAATATACTTTAAATATTCTATAAATATGATATTACAATATTGAAAGTATACAAGTAAAACACGATAAATATGCTGTAAGTATACTGTAAATGTACAAAAATCATCGTTAATTTGCTCAAATTATGTGTGAAATGTAAGAAACGAAGTTTATATCAAATAATCGCTTCCAGTTTCCTGATACAACATTCGGCAACCGGTTCTCCAATTTATTAACAATAATGATAACGCTTTGATTTACACCTTCCTCTTTCAGAAATGTCAACGAAAGAGGGAACTGAGTCCCAGTACAACATGGGATATAAACGATGCGTTGAAGAAATAACGAAGTTCTTCAAATCAAACTCATGTGTGTCATTTGATTTAAAGTCTTCAGTCTTGGATCATATTGACAAAGACAATAAACTGAGAACAAAGGAAGCTGTGACAAAAACAAAAACCGAGCAATGCAAATCGACAGATGTGTTTTCAAAATCAGCAAGCATTACGTCGACAATGAAAATAATTCAACCGAAACCATCAGACGACCTTGTTCGATTACACGATATTTCACAACAGACTTTATGCAGCGTGATGTCTGTTCAACCTTCCCTGGGTGTGATAGGTAGCAAACAGATGCCCACGTACATCCTTGTCCCGACTGCTGCGTTGTGTCAAGTGCCTTCTATATCTTTGTCAGCGGTAGAGACCGCCAAGCCTTCGACCTCGGTATCCTGTGATAGAAATGAAGAACCTGGTGACAATACTCCTACCATTTTCGACAAACATCTAACAGTGGCATCGTCATGCAATTTACCAGTTACCAACGCTATAACACAAACAGTCACAGCTGAACACATGAGTTGTTTCCCGTTGCAAAAATGTCCGCGAAGTAGAGATGCACGGATCCAGCCGTCATTGCAATTAGCAAATATCATTGGACCTTTGACACAACATTGTCACGCTTCAAACACAGACGACGCTATGTGGAGGCCATGGTGATCCCATTATGTATGGACCTGGAATAGAGTCATTGCTGGTCAATGGCGACGATGTAACTTAGTTAACTTCCGTCAATAGTCTCGCTTTTAAATCCGCGATTTTTGCAATGTGTTTTCCCATTCTATTACTAATTGGTGCATGATACGTAACTTTTGAACAAGCTGCATGCGCATGACAAGTACGTACCTAAACCTAGGTTTAGGTTAGTTCATCATCGCGGATTCGACGTAGAGAAAGGAGGGAATGGTGAAGCTTAACTTGACAGACTCTATCACAATATGCACTAACTATGGAATACTAATCTGTGATAAAAGATTCAGGGTTTATTCGATACGTCATCAAATGTGTTTGTTAGAAATCTCGATGTTATTATTTCATTCATACACTTGTAGATTAATGCATATTTGAACTTACTAGTGTGAACATTTAGAAAATTACTAAAACATGTTATCGTGTGAATACGGGCCAGATGTAGGGACAGGGCACAGTTGACAATACAAGTCACGTGCACGGCAGTGAAGTTTTGAGCTCCGTCGAAATTTGTTGTTTTTGGACACTATGTGAGCGAAGTTGCGCTTTTTCCGATATGTTCGTGGGTACCAGCATCAAATTTGGATAAGAGACACACCGCCGCATCGATCTTAAAGTCGCTGATCTAAAGTTGATGCGTGATTGAATCTTAACTTTGTGAATTGCTATATGTTATTGGTCAATACTTCCGAAAGGGGGACATCATGTTGCTAGGAGACTTTAATAGTCGTACCAGTAATTCAAGTGATTTTGTCAAAAATGATACTGTTCATGACAGTGTTAAAAATAAACTCTCGAAGTTATTTACATATGTCTCAGATGATTTATATATAGATAGGGTTAACCCCGATACATTGGTTAACCTATTTGGTAACCGACTTAATGAGTTGTGTAAGACAAGTTGTCTATGGATTTATTTCTCAAATGATTAAACGCATTGTGGCCATAAAGGAATGACATTGAGTCAATCTTTATTTCGATCTGTTAAAACTGTTTATCGTAATTTAAGCAGTTTTATTGTGCTGTCTGAAAACGCCGCCGTGTACGTGCTATTGTACACACGATTTTCAAATGTTGTGAATAGGGATGCACATATAAGTAGGGAGACCGATAGTGAGCGGTCAACCTATCGCTGGAATGAGGACAGAATAGAACACTTTTAAACGTATTCTCGGCGAATGTGATATCGACATGCCAACTGTTTCACTGCAAGAGATTACTCAACATATAGAAAACAGTGTGATTTACCGATGAACTGCTCCGTGCAATTGACACCTTTCTCGTTCGAACCAATATTAATACACACACGGAGTCTTAAGCGTGCGGGTGCAGTGGGACGTGACAAGGTAAATAAACAAGGTACCTAAGCTACAGGTATACATATGTGTGATGACACACCATGGATTGACTCTGAATTGAAATATGTTATGTGCTGTATATATGATTCTGACCAATATAAACGTGTTTTGAACTTGTTGATGAATTTGAAATCAGTAGAGAATTATAAGAATGATAAGAAAAGAATACATATATCATTAGACGTGAGGGGGAAAACGAACACTATATGAGATATGAAAGATATATGTTGAAATATTTCTGAAATTATACTTTCAGGAAATTTTATAAGAAATTTTCTTCACCAAAGGCAGTTATAAAAAAAACTGTATGAGAATTTAAAATCTTTGTCGTCAAAAAAGTATTAATAATTTAAATGAAACAGATTATGATACAGAGTTAAAAACTAATGGTGGCTCTATTCCTTTTTTTAATGGAGTTTAACTGTCCTATCAGTGTGAATAGGCTATATGTAAAATTAAACCAGGGAAGTCCCACGGATGTGATGGTATTTTAAATGAATGTTTTTTAGTTGGTAAAAAGGCACCTTTGTCACCAGTGTAGATATTAATTAATTTGAGACGTTTCCCGTCAAAATGGTCTTTAGATGGTATTACTAGATAGTATGTAAAGAATGTGAGAAGACAAGATGAACTGGGACGACAGGAGGAACAAAAGTTCCGGAAGAATGTCTCTTACATTACACATTGTACCACCGTAATATCTACCATTATATAATTATATATTATCTGATAATAATCCGTTTTAGCGATAAATTGGAGTTATTCGTTTAAGCCTCCAACATTTTCTGGACTACACACATGTTGCTAGAAATATTCTATATCAAAGATCCCTGTGTAGGTCTTGAGGACATGATTCCCGTTTAAAGTTACATTGGAATTCATATGATATCCTCTACAGTGGCTCTACGTTATACACATCAGAAAAAGAACATGCATTAAAGCATGTTTAAAGTTAAATCAGATTTTAGTTTGTTTTGTTTCAAAATATTTAATAAATTGTAATAGGATTGGGCAAGAGATTCCAAAACTTCCCTAAAACCGAATCATACTTTATACAAATACTCGCAAAAGTGGTTATACTTATTTAGGGAGTTGCATTTGTCATCGAAGTAAAGGAAAGTCAGAGGAAGGGGATCGACCTAGGAGATACGATTTGATTTCCTCACAAACTGTTGGAGGGGTGTACATGTAAATATAAGTATAAATGTGTTGTCCTCAGCTGACAGTGATATATTTCTCCACAAAGTCAGTCAAACAGTCATTGGCCAATATGTCCCCAATAGATTCATGAGTGGGTTTTTTGATATTGCCATACATGATACATGTAAGCAAAGAAAAATGCTGTTCAGTGTGTTTATACATTTAAAAGAGAATAACAATATTGTGATCAAGTCAAACCGACAAATGTTTATTTATAGAACGATTTTAGATGATGTAGGTTTACTTGGAAGTTCAAGCTTGATGGGTTTCCACTAAAGATAACCTCGTGATATCAGTCGGTTAAGGAAACGTTTCTTCCTTTCAAATACGTTATGTCACTTTCTGTTAAATTTTAGTCATTTATTTATTAGAGCAATGTTAAACAATATTTTCCAAAGATTAGATATTTAATATGATATCTATGTTGCCACACAGACCAATTGCCCGAGAATATTTTTCATTTCATTTTTAGTGTACCATTTTAAGGGTAGACAGTTAAGAGTTGCTCTAATTGGCTAAAACGACATTAAATGTGGTTAAAAATAAATACCATTCACTTGTACATTGTAATACAAAATAAGGATGCTGCATCATACACACGTGTTCCTTGATGGACACCCTAACATATTAACATCATCACGTAATAAAAATCACGATAAGTTTAAGGCTGGCTTGCGCTCAGTGCAGTTTTAAAATTATGATATTTCTAAAGATCTGAAATCTATTTCACATTTCAGTTATTATGGAGATATTACAAAATCTTTGATACCAGAAAAATAAAAACTATACCGTTATATAAATCCATATTTTGGAGTTACTTGTATCTTTCGAGTCTTGTGTCAGTCTATTATATCTGTAAAGTTGTGAATCGTTTCAGTCAGCCGTTTTATGAACATTTCGATATGATTAAAGCGGTTTTGTTGTGTAAGAGTTACCTCCCTTGTAGCGACCGATTGTTTGCGTGTGCTAAATGACTGAGGTGATGAAAAAAATGACAGAGAACACAAGTAAAGCAGTTGTCATTCACCGATACACAAGGTATCCTCTGCTACGATTTAGATGTTAAGATGTCACTTCAACTGTTGTTATTGTCAATCAGAACGGTGAAAGTCGATCTGCGATTGAACTGATTCGTAAATGTGTTCAATTATCGTAAAAGGAATGTGAATCACTTGTTGTAAGTAAAAAAAATCTAAGGAACAATTAGAAAATTTTGTTAAGGGGTTCGGAGGATATTATCGTTACTTGTTTACCCTGGAAAGTTCTGGTGTCCAGGATCATCCAATGACGCTTTGCGGATAATACCAAACATTTCAATAATAGTTTGTCTTCGGGAACTCCGGCTTTCCTCCACCACCAAAACCTGGTACGTCCTTAAACGACCGCAGCTTTAATTATGACGTCAACAAAATAAAAAAATATCCAATGGAGATGTATACATAAATACATCCGTGTCATATCTTCGCTTATAAAATTATGTGATGTAACCATTTGTGACGTCATTAAATGATAATCATTAGACGTCACACACTATTATATTGAAAAGGAGACGATATAAAGCAAAGGACTTATGATGTCGCCATCAAGTTTTACCTTGAAAAGTGTGATTTTGTAAATATAAGCAAAACCTTATTCGTTTTCTTTTTTGGTGAGTTTTAAAACTCGCCAAGAAGTATGAATTCAAAATGTATTTACTTTTACAATCCGATTCCTGCAAAATCTTGTAGATCAGTGTCCTGTGGTACAGCAGAGACTTTACTGTCAAACTTCTCTACGAATCGTTTTACACAGGACATGCTGTACATTGTAACGCATTGTTCATAAATGTCACTATCCTCAAAATCAGCGCCCCCAGCCAACGTCCGTGTGACCAGACAGAGCATTAAACCGGCAAATCCTACACAGTGGGAGATAAGAGCGCTCAATTTCGGGTTTCCCGGGAGAAGTAATGTCGTCTGCAGGTGCCAAGCTCCTCTCCAAAGGTTCACGGTAATACAGACAGTGAGCATGATGTAGCCCTTGGATAAGAGTTTCTTAAAAACTCCCAAGGCTTGGCTTACTTCTAATTTTCGGCAGTAAGTTCGAAGCATGTTTTCACCAAGAATAACCGGGGTCGCTAGAGTGACGCTGATGAAGAGGGAAATGTAGGCAGAGAGAGTAAGATTGTCCGGGATTATGAGAATATCCATGAGTTCCCATAAGGATCGCCACGTGACGACAACCAGGAGATTATAAACGACGATTTCATAGGACCCGTACACTAACAGCCATATCCAGTCCTGTACGTCCTGTAAACACACAGAAAAACACGTGTAGTCAAAACCAAACATGACATCACTTACTGAATATACAGACAAATATATACAACAATCTGTAGAATAATTTGTAAACTAAATTTCCTGTCACAAAGTCTGGGTTCTGACTCTCTGTATCACCGACCACTTTCTATGTAAGCTAAATATTAACGTTTCCTCGTTTTTAAAATCCCGAATGAAATAGAAACTTATCTTAGGTGTAGGAATTTCCAGTAAGTATAATTGGGACCCGTCGAGAGGAGAAGCTTTGGCCTCTTGTACATTGGTGAGGATGTTTATAATCTCTGATATTTTGTATAAATATTTTCGTCACACAGCAAACAGTAGAAAGGGATGTGGCGTTGCACGACTCTATTTGAACTTGCTCTTATCAAAAACTCTCCCATATCAGTGAGATGGGGTAGATTACAGGGAGTGTTTGATAAACCATCAACTGTTATAATCTTGTCTCAGTTTGATTAACCATCAACAGTTATAATCTTGTCTCAGTTTGATTAACCATCAACAGTTATAATATTGTCCCTGTTTGATAAACCATCAACAGTTATAATCTTGCCCCTGTTTGATTAACCATCAACATTTATAATATTTTCCCTGTTTAATCAATCATCAATTTCCATTATATTGTCCCTGTTTGATTAATCATCAACACTTATAATCTAATACCATTTGAGTTTTGGAGTTTTAGAACATCACCCATTCCAGCCGTTTTCTCAATTATTTCGTTTTATAAGATTTTTTCCAAATTTATCGGTGCGTGATTACCTTTTTACAAGTTTTTGTGAAAGGGGAGTGCTCTATCCACTGCGCCAGTCGACGGCCCTAAAACAAAACAAAATTATTTCACATTAAAAAACCTCTTCATCATACATACTTGAATAAATACATATGTAATACATCGGTTGTATGTAACGATAAAAATTAAGAGTTTACAGAACGTTCATTAATTCTGTTTAAATGAATTCTAACCTACAAATACGTATTCTGTATATATACATATGACGTACGACTGTATTATTAACACGTATGATACTCATTTGAAATACAAACTACCAGTAAAATAATTAGTAGTATCAAACGTATTAACAGCCGTATGTGTTATAATTTTGAGAAAAGTATTGTTATCTGAAATTATTACAAACAGCTCATTAACCCTTGGAATGTTTGAAACTGCGTTTAGGACATTAGATATGTGATATTCGTGAATGTGGTTTGGTGTAGACATTCTGTTTTGTGGGTTGGAGAATACTTAACAGACACGCCAGGACTCAGTACAACATTGTATTTAGGTTTGATGTTAAAATAAACTAAACAAGCATGAACATGGAGGCTGGTAAACATAGCTATATACATATACTCATCGAAATTGAACCATTCATAAGGGTGATATTGCAAATAACAAATCGAAAGGGGAGTTAGCCTTATAGAATATTAAAAAAACATACGGATGCATTGATTAGGCAGTCAGACTCAACCTGAAAATTGCAAATACGAATATGCACACTAAATTCTTACACCTAGTACGAAATTAATATCAGAATATGATATTTTTGATACCTCACTTCTGAAAAAGAAACAATATATATATTTCGATGATAATTCTCTTGGCAGATACTGCATAAAATATTTACTTTTTTATTAGAAAGAGGGGAGCTAAAATAGGATTGGTCATAGAATAGAAATTGGTTTGAAAGTACTAAAATACAGTATCAATGAAAGAAATGTGTCAAAACCGCCTCTTCAAGGGAATGTATGATTGAACAGCTGGTGTAGATTAAGTATGATCTTGAGGGATAAAGCAATGTTCTGGCTCCATGACACCATGTCTCTGTCCCGAGGAGAAGCTGTATCTCAACATCCCATACACTATACATATACAGTTACAGCTCTCCACCTCACTTGATTGGTCCGGTCATTTCCTCGAGTAACTTACGAAGATTTGCTGAGAGAGTTTGCTGTCTGCTGTGGGGATTTATATTCTTTCAACTCCATGGACAGCTAAGCCAATGTGAAAGTAGGGGTATAGTGATTTTAACGACTTTTTCTATTCACTTATTTAATTAGACGTATAACGAATATTTATGTTTGCTGTATATGTGATTTAAGTTAAATTTTAATTGTATGCGTACGATGAATACCTGTATAGTTGCCCCCGTTTGTACCGGCCGATCACACAGATGGAACGCAAATAAGTTTAAACCGAAATTGGGAAATTTAGTTATACACTTGCATCTTCATAGAGGTGATATCACCATACAAATACATGTTTGAACTTTTCTTGCAGTCTTGCACACTGTATTGGCAGTGCACTTGACGTGTTTTGGTATAAACGATGTAGAGGCTTGTGATATATGATCTAAAACATTCTGTATTTAGTTGGTTGCCATTGGGGATTGGGGAACAGGAAAAGGAAACTGAAGAGAACCTACCACGAAAGAAAGACAGCAACAAAAAGTGAGGAAACAATACAACGAAATCGAAAACAATTGGAATGAGGGACATCGCAAAGAAATGAAAGACAACAACAGAAATTAAGGACATCGCAAAGATAGGGAAGACAAAAACAGGAATGAGGGACATCACAAAGAAATGAAAGACAACAACAGAAATTAAGGACATCGCAAAGATAGGGAAGACAAAAACAGGAATGAGGGACATCGCAAAGAAAGGGAAGACAACAACAGGAATTAGGAACATCACAAAGAAAGGAAAATATTACAGAAATCGCAAAAAAAAAGACAGCAAAAAGAATTAGGGACATTGCAAAGAAAGGAAAATAATAACAGAAATTAGGGACATTGCAAAGAAAGGAAAATAATAACAGAAATTAGGAACATTGCAAAGAAAGGAAAATAATAACAGAAATTTGGGACATCGCAAAATCAGGAAAGACAACAATAGGAATTAGGGACATCACAAAGAGAAGGAAAGACAGCAGAGGAACTGGAGACACAGCGCAACCAACGGAAAGAGGACAACAGGAACCTAAGAGGCACAAAAATAAAGGAAAAACAACATGGGGATCTGTGGAGACGCCATAACGAAAGAATAGACATCAACGGTAGCTTAAGAGATACCAAACAAAAACGACTGTTATCAACTTTAGTTACACTGTACTATACAAGAGAAAGACTTACTTGGATTTCCCTGTCAATGGGTCTTCCTGGTCAAAATCGTGCCGGGTCGAAAATGGTACTCCCGAGGTCAGACTTAGACCACCTAGGACGGACAGAAACAAAGTCCCCAAACATCCGGACACGACTAAGTTAAGCCATTCTATGGTCAGATACAGGTCAAACAGTCCCCAGGACCCCCTCCACAGCATCACCTGTGTGATACCTATAAGGTAGGCATGGAAACGTGACGTCACGTGAAACAGCAACGGGTAGTGATCAGGAAGAAGTGTTCTATTTATAGGCCCCTGCAATAGTGTAAACAACAGCAAAGCAATGCTACCACCAATAAAAGACACCCATAAACTCAGCTCCTTTTGTTCTGGAATGAAATAGAAATCAATGGTATCCCATGTTCCCTTCCAAAAGAATGCAACGAGTGGCCCTATTATTGTAAAGTTGATAAAAATGTCAACGGATGTTAGTAACGCCTCTCTGATGTAAGATTTCATGTTGATTACGAACGTTGTAAGTATGGCTTTAGTACGGTGGCTGATTTATGTCATGCGGTTGTTTCGTGTTTTCGCTCCGAAAAGACCAGATGTAGTTTCTTTTAGAATTCTATATGTTTCCTCTTTTCGGGGCGAAAAGACGAAATAAGGAAAATAAAGGTTTGTTGATTCTCGACTTTCTCGGGACGAAAACAGGACACAACGATAATTAAGGTTTAACACTCGTCTTTTGGAGGCGAAAAGAAAAAAAAATAGCGAAACGTCACTTTCGACTACCGTACTATAAAAGTGTGACACGCTGATATCGTGTATATGATATTGTATCATATGAAGGATTGGTTAGTTTTACTGTACAGGGTTCAACATCCTGTCAACAGCTACGGTCATTTAAAGACACGTCTCCATGTGTATTGTACATGCATTCATCTGCGTATGTGTGCTGGATGGGGTATGTTGGTGTATTTACCTCCTTGTGATTGCGTAGAATCTGATGGTGTTTTATAGTCCCCTTACGCTGAAATGCCTTCCCGAAGGCACCCAGCACAGCATTCCGCTCTGTCACAACAGCTGAACCTGTTGTACGTTTCGATAAGCTTCTCGTTTTAATGATTTATATTTATTAACTTGGAATTAATTTAATAAATTTAAGTGTCTATTTAAAACTGGTTTTCAATTGTTGAAGGGGAAAAGTATTTCTCATAGTGTTGCGTTGCCGGAGACTCTTGCGTGGTAACCTTTTTTACTCAGAATTTCTAACACAGTAATTGGGTTATCTGACCATTATTGTGAGGTACAAAAGGTCGCAAAAACAAAATTTTAGCTATGTATTTATATTTGCTCTCCATTTTTCCATTTCAACGTACTGAGAAGCTAAATGTTGTTATGAGACTATAACAACATATGTTATTTTTGTGTTATTAATTCTATTCTTGTTGAGACTTAATTTGCTGTTCGAAATAACAAAATAAAGCGTTACTACTCCATCAAAATGTAAATATAAATAATGAATATTTTAGCAAATATTGTTATGGTCCTATAACACACATTTCTATCGCTGACAAACTTACATAAAGCCCTGCCGGGTTTTATTAAATTTGTCATCAATAGCGATGAGTGTTATAGGACCATAACAACCTTTGCTAAAGCAGTCATTACTTAAGTAAGACAGGTATTTTTATATCTCTCCGTGTCGAAATCGTTAACCAGAAAGGTTTTTTAAAGATGTACTTGTATGTATATTGGCGATCCAGTATTGTAATACTTGCTGTTTTATTTATATAGATTTTGTTTATATTGGCATTTAATTTCCAATGGTAACTGAATAAATAACACCCAGCACAAATATCCAAGCTTTGGTTCTATACTTTAAAAGAGTGTCCCTGGGTTTTTGACGAGTCCCTGTGTATTCTAACACGTACTGTATATAACCTGTTCAATATGTCATTAATAACGTATTACTGTGTTCATTAAAGGTTCCGGTACCACTGCCAAAACTGTAACTTCACACAGGAAACCGATTTTGCTGCGTAAAAAGAGTGCAGTATTATCTGTAGTAAAACTTTACCAGCTGAATCAATGCTTACTCTCATATAAACTACACAGACTAGAAAAAGCCCAAATAACGCCCCCGCATGCAACCATTTTTTAGACTCTTGTAGTGTTTGCATCCGGATTCAGTTGTTCCGGATTTTCGTTTTTACCATTAGTCTCGTTTCAAAGAAAATAAACACGGTACACGTTGGAAATTCAAGTGGAAATTTCTACTGTTTGATGTTTGATGATTCACAAGTGTTGGTGTTTGCCATAAACTGTTCAGACGTTTTCTAAGTAACGTAATTGTCATGTACATTCGCTGTCCGGTACCGATTCAAAGACTACTGAAACGTGTGAATTTTCAAAACAATGCATTTCTACGCGATTTTTGATAGGCTTATAAGGTCAAATTCTAAATGTGTATTGATTCTCATTCTATGTAATTTATGATGACTCTGTCATAGATAACGACTTTTCAGAGTAAGACTGTACCTGTTATTAGGCCATGATATAGTAGTACGGGTTTATCGTGTCCAAACGGGTCATGACATGGACATCGGTGCATTCTTTATCAGAATGTCAGAATGACAGTGCGTGTACCCAGAGTTACGGATCAGTGAGTATTTGATTATATAAATGTACCTTGATACGTGTGAATCATGGTATTCTAGCTTATTACTGTTTATTGTATATTTATAGTGCTTTAACCCTGCTCTCGGGAGCAATTAAAACCACGAGTCTTTTGTGTGTGTTGTTGTACAATTCTACTACAATTTACGAATCATTTGTACTTTAAACAAATCTTGCTATTTGTAAACGAGATTAAAACCACTGTAAAAGCATATATTTGCGTTGGGGTGAAATTTCGTTGCTTTTGTTTTGGGACAAATTCGTTGGGGTCATATTTCGTGGAATCAATATTTTCAGTATATTATATACATGTGGATAGATACATATGATTGTAGACAATGCGTTCGAATACTTACCACCATATGTGATATTGGCCTGCGATAAGTTTCGGTATTTTGCCAGCAGTCTGTAAGTTTCCCTTTTTTCAGGATAGATACACGTGTAGAGATATATTATGACAGGGGCGGGGTAATTTTGAACTATTTCAAAGTTGACATCAAAGAGGACACATGGCCAGGAAAGCCATTTGCAGCAGCATAAAAGATTATTGCTGCTGTAAAAACAACACTTTAGGACGATGGTCATTATATACTGTTTCTAAAATAGCTCATATGATTGGCATTTCAGAAGGAAGTACACATCACATTCTGACCAAGTGCTTGAAATTAAATAAGCTTTGTGCCCGATGTTTCCCTCAATGGGTGATATCTAAACAAAAGGCCAAACGTGAAATGTGCTAAAGATTTATTGAAAACATTCGGCAATTACCACTCAAGAAAGCTATCTAAGTTACTTACAGGGGATGGGACTTGGGTCTATCACTTTGAACCCCGGAGGCGTATTAGAAACAAGCAAAGGTTGTAGGGGTATCAAGAAAGGTCATCGATTGCAAGACGCATAACAAGCGCCAAGAATTAGTTTTCAGTTCTAGAGAGCCTGTGTTTCACGAACCGTTGACGGAAGAACAAACTAAAACTCCCAATACATATTAATAAGTATCATAAGTGTAGTTATATTCAAGTTCTTTATTACCTTGGGTCGTTTGACCCATCGGTATAAAACTCTCAAGTATTACAGAGACAAAGTACCTAAGACTGTCACAAGATTCTGCATAAAAAAGCATCCAAGTAAAGGGTTGAATAGCATCCAGCTAAAACCCAATAATGTACAGATGGTTTTTTAAGCAAGAGAATGTAGAACAGATTGACCAACCTCCTTATTCACCAGAACTAAGTCTCGGTGACTTCTTCCTGTTTCCTTTACTAAAGAAAATGCTCTCTTGGAAACGGTATGCCTCAAGAAATGCTCTTGGTAGCGCATTTGTTCCCGTGCCTCGCCAGTATACCAAGGAAAGTCTACCGCGCAGCGTTCACGTCCTGGACAGCGCGATTGCGAAAGTGTGTTTATACTACTTCGAAGTATTGTAATAGAAAGATCAAACTATATGCATCATATATGTGACAGAATTTATTGAATGGACCTCGTCAACGTGAACATTCGTCTTGGGTTTGCCACGTTTCATCCAACATTACGATACTTATTAATATCATTAAGTAATAATTTGGTTCATGTTGTCATTTGCATCAATTGTTTTTGCAGAACGGGGCTCTATTTGGACCTCATGCCCGACAGGAGCAGTCAAACACCATCGGCTTCGTCATAGGAAGAATCTCTTTAATTAAGTTACTTCTTACCAATGAGTGAACAATTTAAATCAGTCTTAAAGTCCATCACTGGTAGAGGAACATTCCGAATGTCTGATATGTAGGCCAGCGCGCCAGCTCGCCCCTGCAAAGTCGTCATCAGAAAACTGGACACTGCGCCCTGGACAAACTGTCGATACTGGGGGAGGCGCGTGTTATTGGTCGTCTTGCAGTAATGGGTCACGTGGCACACTTTAAATGGTAACAAAAGAAAAAGTTTCGTTACAATAGGGATGAACCTTAAAACAAGATTAGTAATGAATTCAGCATAACTTTTTATAACAATACATGTAAGTACAACAATTGACGTCGATTTGTATGGTGTTGGTTCGCATGGATTGCTAGAATGCAAAGACTTCCAATCATCTATGATAACACGCAACGAGCGATCTCGGCCAGATTCTTTTACGAATTTTAATATTTTAATTTCGCTTACTACGTATAGAGGCATCCTTGTACATAATGGTTTATCTCACTCTTTAAAATAGTGTACTTTCATATGTTTGTACTGTGGTTAAGCTGTGAAAAATGTCGTATTTTCATATTAAAACCAAGCAGAGGCAGAATTTCCCATAGTTCTGTAATTAATAATGAAAAAGCGGACCCTTCCATGGTTCTATAATGAAAAAGCAAACATTCTCATTGTTCTATATTAAAATCAAGACCTTCCCATAGTCCAGTAATTGAAAATGCCGACCTTCTCACAGTTCTGTAATGAATAAGCGGACCTTTCAATGGTTCTAAAATGAATAAGTGGCCCTTCCCATAGTTATATAATAAATAAATGGACCTTCCCATAGTTCTATAATGAAATAGCGGACCTTCCCATAGTTCTATAATGAAATAGCGGACCTTCCCATAGTTCTATAATGAACAAGTTCACCTTCCCGTAGTTCTATAATGAATAAGCGGACCTTCAGGTAGTTCTAAAATGGAATAAGTGGACCTCCCCATTACTCTATAATGAACAAGTGGACCTTCCCATAGTTCTAAAAAGAAATAGCAGACCTTCTCATGGTTCTATAATGAATAAGCGGACCTACCCATAGTTCTATTATAATTCAGCGATCCTTCCCATAGTTTAATTATGAATAGGCGGACCTTCCCATAGTTATATACTGAACAAGTGGACCTTCCCATAGTTCTAAAAAAATAGCAGACCTTCTCATGGTTCTATAATGAATAACCGTACCTACCCATAGTTCTATTATAATTCAGCGGACCTTCCTATAGTTTAATTATGAAAAGGCGGACCTTCCCATAGTTATATACTGAACAAGTGAACCTTCCCATAGTTCTATAATTATTAAGCGGACCTTCCCATATTTTTATTATGAATAGGCGGACCTTCCCATAGTTATATACTGAACAAGTGAACCTTCCCATAGTTCTATAATTATTAAGCGGACCTTCCCATATTTTAATTATGAATAGGCGGACCTTCCCATAGTTATATACTGAACAAGTGGTCCTTCCCATAGTTATATACTGAACAATTGGACCTTCCCATAGTTATATACTGAACAAGTGGACCTTCCAATAGTTATATACTGAACAAGTGAATCTTCCCATAGTGCTATAATAATTAAGCGGACCTTCCCATATATTAATTATGAATAGGCGGACCTTCCCATAGTTATATACTGAACAAGTTG